ATTAGTGTCCTGAGCAATGATTTATATCTTTGTTTCCTCTGTGATTAGGTGTAGTGAGCAATGTTTTATATGTTTGTTTTCTCTGTGATTAGGTGTAGTGAGCAATGTTTTATATGTTTGTTTTCTCTGTGATTAGGTGTCCTGAGCAATGATTTTTATGTTTGTTTCCTCTGTGATTAGGTGTAGTGAACAATGTTTTATATGTTTGTTTTCTCTGTGATTAGTTATAATGAACAATGTTTTATATGTTTGTTTCCTCTGTGATTAGGTGTCCTGAGCAATGATTTTTATGTTTGTTTCCTCTGTGATTAGGTGTAGTGAACAATGTTTTATATGTTTGTTTCCTCTGTGATTAGTTATAATGAACAATGTTTTATATGTTTGTTTCCTCTGTGATTAGTTGTAATGAGCAATGTTTTATATGTTTGTTTTCTCTGTGATTAGGTGTCCTGAGCAATTGTTTATGTGTTTGTTTTCTCTGTAATTAGGTGTAGTTAACAATGATTTATATGTTTGTTTTCTCTGTGATTAGGTGTAGTTAACAATGATTTATATGTTTGTTTTCTCTGTGGTTATGTGTAGTTAACAATGATTTATATGTTTGTTTTCTCTGTGATTAGGTGTAGTTAACAATGATTTATATGTTTGTTTTCTCTGTGGGTAGGTGTAGTTAACAATGATTTATATGTTTGTTTTCTCTGTGATTAGGTGTAGTTAACAATGATTTATATGTTTGTTTTCTCTGTGATTAGGTGTAGTTAACAATGATTTATATGTTTGTTTTCTCTGTGGGTAGGTGTAGTTAACAATGATTTATATGTTTGTTTTCTCTGTGGGTAGGTGTAGTTAACAATGATTTATATGTTTGTTTTCTCTGTGATTAGGTGTAGTTAACAATGATTTATATGTTTGTTTCCTCTGTGGTTAGGTGTCCTGAGCAGTGATGTTGTAGTGATCCCTGATGTTGAGCCAGACTCACCAGATCCAATTGTCGTCATGGTCGATGAAGAGGAGGACTCGGCCAAAAATCAGAGGAGAGCCAGTGCAGGAGCTGACATCTCTCGTGTTGAGCGCTTGCCAGCTAAAACAAAACACCAGAAATCTGCCAAACTGAAGAAGACAAGGCAGCCAATCACAGCAGCTAATTCAGATGACCAGCATTCATTCAGGGTAGAGGTCAAGTCTAAGGTCACAGTCCCTGGCTGCAGAAAGTCCAAAGGGAAAAAGCACAAGAAAACCAATGCAAAGCAAGGTAAATTATGGGATGCAGCCATATATTTTGTGGGATGTATCGGGGTACATTATGTGGGGCAATAAGATCTATTGTGTGGGGTGTAACAAGGTATATTGTGTGAGGTGTAACAAGGTGTATTGTGTGGGGTGTAATAAGGGGTATTGTTTGGTTAGCAAAGTATATTTTGTAATGTTAGTTGCCTGTTCTTTACAGGGCATTGCAGAACCAACTTCCTCAATTTTTAGCTGTTTTAGCAACATATGCCAACTTTTGTTTGGTGTAGTAAGTTATATTATTAACAGGTAACAGGTAGTAACAGGTATATTGTGTTGTGCAACAAGGTATATGTCTGTGGTGTAGCAAGATTTTGTGTGTTGTAGCAAGGTATATTGTATGGGGTATAACAAGGTATATTGTGTGGTGTAGTGAGGTATTGTACGGTGTAACAAGGTATTGTGTGTTGTAGCTAATATATTTTATGGCTTTGGTATATTGTGTGTTGTAGCAAAGTATTGTGTGGTGTCGCAAGGTAAATTGTGGGGTGTAACAGTGTATATTGTTTGGGGTGTAACAAGGTATATTGTGTGGAGTGTAGCAAGGTATATTGTGTGGAGTGCAGCGAGATATATTGTGTGGGGTGTAGCAAGGTATATTGTGTGGAATGTAGCAATGTATATTTTGTCGGGTGTAACAAGGTATATTGGGTGGGGTGTAGCCAACATATCGTCATAGAAAACAGTTGTCTGTCTTTTTATTTTTATTACATAACTCTTTATCGATTACACATAACAGTTGTCTTAATGTTTTTTTTTACGTCTCTTCATATGGTTTAAAGAAAACAGTTGCGTGTCTTATTGTTTTTATTATATGTCTCTTCATAGATTACAGTAAATAGTTGTATATCTTATTGCTTTTATTACATCTCTTCATAGATTGCAGAAAACAGTTGCGTGTCTTATTGCTTTTATTACATGTCTCTTCATAGATTATAGAAAATAGTTGCGTGTCTTATTGTTTTTATTACATGTCTCTTCATAGATTACAGAAAACAGTTGTGTGTCTTATTGCTTTTATTACATGTCTCTTCATAGATTACAGAAAACAGTTGTCTGTCTTATTGTTTTTATTACATGTCTCTTCATAGATTTAGAAAAGAGTTGTCTGTCTTATTGTTTTTATTACATGTCTCTTCATAGATTTAGAAAAGAGTTGTCTGTCTTATTGTTTTTATTACATGTCTCTTCATAGATTACAAAAAACAGTTGCATGTCTTATTGCTTTTATTACATCTCTTCATAGATTACAGAAAACAGTTGCGTGTCTTATTGTTTTTATTACATGTCTCTTCATAGATTTAGAAAAGAGTTGTCTGTCTTATTGCTTTTATTACATGTCTCTTTATAGATTACAGAAAACATTTGTCTGTCTTATTGTTTTTATTACATGTCTCTTCATAGATTTAGAAAAGAGTTGCGTGTCTTATTGCTTTTATTACATGTCTCTTCATAGATTTAGAAAAGAGTTGTCTGTCTTATTGTTTTTATTACATGTCTCTTCATAGATTACAGAAAACAGTTGCGTGTCTTATTGTTTTTATTACATGTCTCTTCATAGATTTAGAAAAGAGTTGTCTGTCTTATTGCTTTTATTACATGTCTCTTTATAGATTACAGAAAACATTTGTCTGTCTTATTGTTTTTATTACATGTCTCTTCATAGATTTAGAAAAGAGTTGCGTGTCTTATTGCTTTTATTACATGTCTCTTCATAGATTTAGAAAAGAGTTGTCTGTCTTATTGTTTTTATTACATGTCTCTTCATAGATTACAGAAAACAGTTGCGTGTCTTATTGTTTTTATTGCATGTCTCTTCATAGATTACAGAAAACAGTTGTGTGTCTTATTGCTTTTATTACATGTCTCTTCATAGATTATAGAAAATAGTTGCGTGTCTTATTGTTTTTATTACATGACTCTTCATAGATTACAGAAAACAGTTGCGTGTCTTATTGTTTTTATTACATGTCTCTTCATAGATTACAGAAAACAGTTGTCTGTCTCATTGCTTTTATTACATGTCACTTCTTAGATTACAGAAAACAGTTGTGTGTCTTATTGCTTTTATTACATGTCTCTTCATAGATTATAGAAAATAGTTGCGTGTCTTATTGCTTTTATTACATGTCACTTCTTAGATTACAGAAAACAGTTGTCTGTCTTATTGTTTTTATTACATGTCTCTTCATAGATTACAGAAAACAGTTGCGTGTCTTATTGCTTTTATTACATGTCTCTTCATAGATTACAGAAAACAGTTGTGTGTCTTATTGCTTTTATTACATGTCTCTTTATAGATTTAGAAAAGAGTTGTCTGTCTTATTGTTTTTATTACATGTCTCTTCATAGATTACAGAAAACAGTTGCGTGTCTTATTGCTTTTATTACATGTCTCTTCATAGATTACAGAAAACAGTTGTGTGTCTTATTGCTTTTATTACATGTCTCTTCATAGATTTAGAAAAGAGTTGTCTGTCTTATTGCTTTTATTACATGTCTCTTTATAGATTACAGAAAACATTTGTCTGTCTTATTGTTTTTATTACATGTCTCTTCATAGATTTAGAAAAGAGTTGCGTGTCTTATTGCTTTTATTACATGTCTCTTCATAGATTTAGAAAAGAGTTGTCTGTCTTATTGCTTTTATTACATGTCTCTTCATAGATTACAGAAAACATTTGTCTGTCTTATTGTTTTTATTACATGTCTCTTCATAGATTACAGAAAACAGTTGCGTGTCTTATTGCTTTTATTACATGTCTCTTCATAGATTACAGAAAACAGTTGCGTGTCTTATTGCTTTTATTACATGACTCTTCTTAGATTACAGAAAACAGTTGCGTGTCTTATTGCTTTTATTACATGTCACTTCTTAGATTACAGAAAACAGTTGTCTGTGTAATTGTTTTTTATTACATGTCACTTCTTAGATTACAGAAAACAGTTGCGTGTCTTATTGCTTTTATTACATGTCACTTCTTAGATTTAGAAAAGAGTTGCGTGTCTTATTGTTTTTATTACATGTCTCTTCATAGATTACAGAAAACAGTTGCGTGTCTTATTGCTTTTATTACATGTCTCTTCATAGATTACAGAAAACAGTTGCGTGTCTTATTGCTTTTATTACATGTCTCTTCATAGATTACAGAAAACAGTTGCGTGTCTTAATGCTTTTATTACATGTCTCTTCATAGATTACAGAAAACAGTTGCGTGTCTTATTGCTTTTATTACATGTCTCTTCATAGATTACAGAAAACAGTTGCGTGTCTTATTGCTTTTATTACATGTCTCTTCATAGATTACAGAAAACAGTTGCGTGTCTTATTGCTTTTATTACATGTCTTTTCATAGATTACAGAAAACAGTTGCGTGTCTTATTGCTTTTATTACATGTCTCTTCATAGATTACAGAAAACAGTTGCGTGTCTTATTGCTTTTATTACATGTCACTTCTTAGATTACAGAAAACAGTTGCGTGTCTTATTGCTTTTATTACATGTCACTTCTTAGATTACAGAAAACAGTTGCGTGTCTTATTGCTTTTATTACATGTCTCTTCATAGATTACAGAAAACAGTTGTCTGTGTAATTGTTTTTTATTACATTTCTCTTGATAGATGTTAATCCCTGATATTCTGTGTCTGGTCAGTAGAGGAATGGAACCGACAGCGTGAGGAGTTAAAGATTCTGGTCATGGACAACCCAGCCATGGCCCTAGAGAAGTTGCTGATGTTTGCCAGCCAGTGGCAGGGATCCAAGCAGCCCATAGTCACTGGGACAATCAAAGATTTCAAGGTGAGAACATTTGAGATCCTTCCGCTGTCTGATGGTGTATATAAACATATCATATTATCACCACTATCTGATTATGTATATAAACATATCATCACCACTATCTGATGATGTGTATAAACATATCCACCACAACTTTCTGGTGCTATATGTAAACATATCATTCTGTCACCAGTTCCACTTTCTGATTATGTATATAAATATATCATTGCCAAATCAGTTCCACTTTGTGATATTGTGTATAAATTAGGGCTGTACCGAATAGTGATTTTCACTATTCGGCCTAATACGAATAGCTGGACCAACTATTCGACTGAATACGAATACGAATAGTTATCATCATCAGGTGCTTTGCCCACTGGCATGGGCCATTATGCCTCGCCACAATCTGCGATCTCCTGTAGCATATATTAGTTCCTGTGCTGACACACCTCCATGCCATGCAACAAGACTGTCAAGAATCTTCTCTCGTTGTCTTCCTCTGTCCCTCCTTCCACAGATCTTTCCAGTGGTCACCACATGTTCCATTTTACCTCATCTTATAACATGGCTGAAAAATGATGACTGTCTCCCTCTGATGTCTGTGAGTAGTTGTCTTTGGGCTCCCGCCTCTATCAAAACCTCTTGGTTGCTTTTTTTGTGTGTGGCTGTCCAAGGTATTGTTCTGTAAAACCACATCTCTGAGGCCTCAAGAAATTGTTTGTCCTGCCTACCGATTGTCCAGGACTTACAGCCATATGTTAAAACTGGATGTATGTAGCAAGCAAGAATTCTTTTTCTTACCTTCAATGACAAAGATATATTGCATAAGATGTTCTTCATTTTATAAAATGCAATTTTTGCCTGTCCTATTCTGTTTCTTATTTCAGTAATGCATCTTCCATCTGATGTTATCCATGTGCCCATATACTTAAATTTCTGTACTTGTCCTAAAATAAAACCATTGACTTTTATAACACATTTAGGAATAATTATTTGCTTTGATACCACCATTACTTCTGTCTTCCCACTATTCAAACTGAGAACCATTCTTCCACTTTCGTGTATAAAATAGATCTAAAAAAAAAAAACACACATCCATACGTCAAATGTACGCTGACATTTTACTTCACAAAATGTAGTACATAATAGTAAACATTTAAAAACATTTCATGTTTTGCATCCTTCAGTCAGTCAGTCTGTAGTAACTAATACCTAGGAATGAAAATATTCTTAGTTATATAACAGGTAACTAAATTGTCAATGACAGCTAAGTTAATCCATGACAGCGGTATTAGCTTTCAAAAAAAAAATGTTGTCAGCATTAAGGCATTTTTGTCTCACTGAAGGTATTTCCAGTTGTACTAAACAGACGTTCACTTGGTATGCTCATAGGCGGTGCACAAAGATAATGCTTGACAGTATGAATCATGGTGGGAAATCTTGATATGTTTATTTTCCACCAGTCTAGAAACGGGTGTAAGGTAACCACTATTCGTATTCGGCCCGACCGCAACTATTCTGCCGAATACTGAATAGTTATTAGGTCCACTATTCAGCCCCCAAGCGAATACGAAGTGAATATTTGGTACATGGTGGTGTATGTAAATATATCATTACATAACCACTTTCTGATGGTGTATGTAAATATATCATTACATAACCACTTTCTGATGGTGTATATAAATATATCATTACATAACCACTTTCTTATGGTGTATGTAAGTGTATCATTGCATAACCACTTTTTGATGGTGTATATAAATGTATCATTGCATAACCACTTTCTGATGGTGTATATAAGTATATCATTTGAGCTCCATTTCCACTATTTTATGCTGTGTGAAACAAATACATTTGGAGACATTGATTTGCTGGTTTTCCTTTGACACTTCTCACAGCTGCTGCTTTTCAGCCTTTGGTGGATAACAGTTATGTAACTAAACCCTATGGTAGCTCATACATGCCACAGTAAGTAGTGGAGACAACCACAACTGTGAATGTTGGTCTCCTGTAGTAGAGACAACCACAGCTGTGAATGCTGGTCTCCTGTAGTAGAGACAACCACAACTGTGAATGCTGATCTCCTGTAGTGGAGACAACCACAACTGTGAATGCTGGTCTCCTGTAGTGGAGACAACCACAGCTGTGAATGTTGGTCTCCTGTAGTAGAGACAACCACAACTGTGAATGCTGGCCTCCTGTAGTGGAGACAATCACAACTGTGAATGTTGGTCTCCTGTAGTGGAGACAACCACAGCTGTGAATGCTGGCCTCCTGTAGTGGAGACAATCACAACTGTGAATGCTGGTCTCCTGTAGTGGAGACAACCACAACTGTGAATGCTGGTCTCCTGTAGTGGAGACAATCACAACTGTGAATGCTGGTCCTATAGTAGAGACAATCACAACTGTGAATGCTGGTCTCCTGTAGTGGAGACAACCACAACTGTGAATGCTGGTCTCCTGTAGTGGAGACAACCACAACTGTGAATGCTGGCCTCCTGTAGTGGAGACAACCACAACTGTGAATGTTGGCCTCCTGTAGTGGAGACAACCACAACTGTGAATGTTGGCCTCCTGTAGTGGAGACAACCACAACTGTGAATGCTGGTCTCCTGTAGTGGAGACAACCACAACTGTGAATGCTGGCCTCCTGTAGTGGAGACAACCACAACTGTGAATGCTGGCCTCCTGTAGTGGAGACAACCACAACTGTGAATGTTGGCCTCCTGTAGTGGAGACAACCACAACTGTGAATGCTGGCCTCCTGTAGTGGAGACAACCACAACTGTGAATGCTGGCCTCCTGTAGTGGAGACAACCACAACTGTGAATGCTGGTCTCCTGTAGTAGAGACAACCACAACTGTGAATGCTGGTCTGGTGGAGACAACCCTGTAGGCCTCCTGTAGTGGAGACAACCACAACTGTGAATGCTGGTCTCCTGTAGTAGAGACAACCACAACTGTGAATGCTGGTCTCCTGTAGTGGAGACAATCACAACTGTGAATGCTGGTCTCCTGTAGTGGAGACAATCACAACTGTGAATGCTGGTCTCCTGTAGTGGAGACAATCACAACTGTGAATGCTGGTCTCCTGTAGTGGAGACAATCACAACTGTGAATGCTGGTCTCCTGTAGTGGAGACAACCACAACTGTGAATGCTGGTCTCCTAGTGGAGACAACCACAACTGTGAATGCTGGTCTCCTGTAGTGGAGACAACCACAACTGTGAATGCTGGTCTCCTGTAGTAGAGACAATCACAACTGTGAATGCTGGTCTCCTGTAGTGGAGACAACCACAACTGTGAATGCTGGTCCTATAGTGGAGACAATCACAACTGTGAATGCTGGTCTCCTGTAGTGGAGACAATCACAACTGTGAATGCTGGTCTCCTGTAGTGGAGACAACCACAGCTGTGAATGCTGGTCCTATAGTGGAGACAACCACAACTGTGAATGCTGGTCTCCTGTAGTAGAGACAACCACAGCTGTGAATGCTGGTCCTATAGTGGAGACAACCACAACTGTGAATGCTGGTCTCCTGTAGTAGAGACAACCACAGCTGTGAATGCTGGTCTCCTGTAGTGGAGACAACCACAACTGTGAATGCTGGTCTCCTGTAGTGGAGACAATCACAACTGTGAATGCTGGTCCTGTAGTGGAGACAATCACAACTGTGAATGCTGGTCTCCTGTAGTGGAGACAACCACAACTGTGAATGCTGGTCTCCTGTAGTGGAGACAACCACAACTGTGAATGCTGGTCCTATAGTGGAGACAACCACAACTGTGAATGCTGGTCTCCTGTAGTAGAGACAACCACAACTGTGAATGCTGGCCTCCTGTAGTGGAGACAATCACAACTGTGAATGCTGGTCTCCTGTAGTAGAGACAACCACAGCTGTGAATGCTGGCCTCCTGTAGTAGAGACAACCACAACTGTGAATGCTGGTCTCCTGTAGTGGAGACAACCACAACTGTGAATGCTGGTCTCCTGTAGTGGAGACAACCACAACTGTGAATGCTGGTCTCCTGTAGTAGAGACAACCACAGCTGTGAATGCTGGTCTCCTATAGTGGAGACAACCACAACTGTGAATGCTGGTCTCCTGTAGTGGAGACAACCACAACTGTGAATGCTGGTCTCCTGTAGTGGAGACAACCACAGCTGTGAATGCTGGTCTCCTGTAGTGGAGACAACCACAACTGTGAATGCTGGTCTCCTATAGTGGAGACAACCACAACTGTGAATGCTGGTCTCCTGTAGTGGAGACAACCACAACTGTGAATGCTCCTGTAGTGGAGACAACCTGTAGTGGAGGACAACCACAACTGTGAATGCTGGTCCTATAGTGGAGACAACCACAACTGTGAATGCTGGTCTCCTGTAGTGGAGACAACCACAACTGTGAATGCTGGTCTCCTGTAGTGGAGACAACCACAACTGTGAATGTTGGTCTCCTGTAGTGGAGACAACCACAGCTGTGAATGCTGGTCTCCTGTAGTGGAGACAACCACAGCTGTGAATGCTGGTCTCCTGTAGTGGAGACAACCACAGCTGTGAATGCTGGTCTCCTGTAGTAGAGACAACCACAACTGTGAATGCTGGTCTCCTGTAGTGGAGACAACCACAACTGTGAATGCTGGTCTCCTGTAGTGGAGACAACCACAACTGTGAATGCTGGTCCTATAGTGGAGACAACCACAACTGTGAATGCTGGTCTCCTGTAGTGGAGACAACCACAGCTGTGAATGTTGGTCCTGTAGTGGAGACAACCACAACTGTGAATGTTGGTCCTATAGTGGAGACAACCACAACTGTGAATGCTGGTCCTATAGTGGAGACAACCACAGCTGTGAATGCTGGTCTCCTGTAGTGGAGACAACCACAACTGTGAATGCTGGTCTCCTGTAGTGGAGACAACCACAGCTGTGAATGCTGGTCTCCTGTAGTGGAGACAACCACAACTGTGAATGCTGGTCTCCTGTAGTGGAGACAACCACAGCTGTGAATGCTGGTCTCCTGTAGTGGAGACAACCACAGCTGTGAATGCTGGTCTCCTGTAGTGTTTAGACAATGATCTGTTTTTACTTCTCAGAGACAAAAACAACTGCCAGTACTCAGTGACAAGCGAGCAGTTCAGCATTTCTCCCAGAAGTCAGCTGCCAGGAGACCAATTGCCCAGGAAAAGGCAGCAGGGGATAAACAGTCTTGCCAGCTTCAGGACAATTATGAGGAAGTTGAGATGGACATTGATAGTGGTAATGAGTGTGAAGGTAATGTTTCGTTGTCTACACTGACTGGTTCTCTATGTCTACACTGACTGGTTATCTGTCTACACTGACTGGTTCTCTGTCTACACTGACTGGCTGTCTGTCTACACTGACTGGTTCTCTGTCTACACTGACTGGCTCTCTGTCTACACTGACTGGCTCTCTGTCTACACTGACTGGCTCTCTGTCTACACTGACTGCTTCTCTGTCTACACTGACTGCTTCTCTGTCTACACTGACTGGTTCTGTCTACACTGACTGGTTCTGTCTACACTGACTGGCTCTCTGTCTACACTGACTGGCTTTGTCTACACTTACTGGCTCTTTGTGTACACTGACTGGTTCTCTGTCTACACTGTCTGGTTTTCTGACTACAGTGACTGGTTCATGTTTGTTGTTGACGAAGTCAGCCCATATTTATTGTTGTTTCTAAAGTTGAATAGTTGTAGCCCGAAGCAGACAACTTTGTTTTTCTTCTGCAGAAATTGGTGATTCTTTGCCTGGCCAAGATGTGAATCAAGTAATGCCTCAATTTTATGTGAGTAGGCAGATGAACAAAGAGGGAGATAGATAAGACAGTTAGGTAGACTGACTCACCGTCTGATAGACTAGCAGATGAACAAACAGGGAGATAGATAAGACAGTTAGGTAGACTGACTCACCATCTGATAGACTAGCTGATGGACAAACAGGAAGATAGATAGGACAGTCATATAGTTGACTCAGTCCCATAGACTAGCAGCTAGACAAACAGGTAGGTGGATAAGACAGATTGACTCGCTGTCTGATAGACTGGCAGATAGACAAACTGGGAGATACATACACAAGACAGTCAAATAGGTAGATTTACAGTCTGATAGAAAGCAGATGTTCAAATAGGGAGATTTAACTGGCATCACAGAAATCGGGGCATTCCCAAAAGCACTTCGTTCCCATCTTCAGCAGCCAGCGAAGAGCTCCGATAGTAATGGTGCCATTAGCATTCTGATTAAACGTCCGTCTTGCCTTTCCTCTGAGCCTCAAGCATCTGCCAGAACCTCTGGCTCTTCCCAACTGTACATGCTCTCCAACAAGGCACTAACCACGTCTGCCTTATCATGTATCATATTCCACCAAGTTGTGCAGAGCTTGCCAGTCTGTCCACCTGTTCATTTCCCATCACACCGCCACACCCCGGTGAAAAATCCAGACAATACTCCTCACCCATGTCCTCCACAGTGAAGCATGCCACTCTGACAAAGCAGGCCTGTCCTGATCTTCCTCAGCATGCCTGTCCTGATCTTCCTCAGCATGCCTGTCCTGATCTTCGCCAGCATGCTTTCTGAATCAGTTACAATCACAATGTGTGTGTGTGTGTCATGTTCTCTAACCAGTGGAAAGCTGCAGTGACCGCCTCCACCTCCATTCTTAAAAGCTAGATGTTGTGGTATCACATGCTAGCCTCTCCTGCACCAAACGTCGACCATTAACATTCGCTAAGAAACCCCAAGCACTTCTTTTGCCTCTTGACACTGAACCGTCTGTGTAAATGATCAAATCCTCTGAGCGAGCATTATCTTGAATTAATTGCTGAATTTACATCTCTACGGCACCTGCTGGCCAGTCTCTGCATTCCCGGCTCAGTGTGATTATTACCCTACACAAGTCTGGCTGTTCAGGTGGCACTCTGACCCACTTCTCTCCTCACCTAATGTTCTCAAGGATGATTGTGTCTGATTGTGTCTTTTGCCTGAGCCATCCATGACTTTCCTCTTATCAGCCGCTGACCCTTAACTGCACCCAGAGCTTCTGTGTCTGTAGCTACCGTAAGATATGACTTCGCCTGCAGCACCCTGTGCCTACCTGCAACAGTGGGCAAACCAAGGATGCATCGCATACACACCACTGGGGTGTCTCTGGTGCAACCCAGAATGACCCACATAGCTGCATTATGTATGCGCTCCAGTTTGTCCATCTGACTTTTTAGGACAGTAAGCAGTCCCAGGCCATAATCAAACACTGACAGGATCAGGTGCTGATATAGTGTGAAAAGCATTCTCTGCTCTATGTCAATTGCAGCCATAGTCTTAAGTGCATCTTGTCACAACACTCTCCACATGGTCCTTAAAGGACTGGCTCCTGTCATATGTAATTCCCAGATACTTCAGTTTGCTCCTCTGTTGACGTTTCCACCATCTATCGTGAGACTTGGGACATTAGCCACAGCCCACATTTCTGTACACCACTCAGTCACTATGTCTACTGTTGCTTGTAGTTCCCAGGCTCTTTGTTCCCTCTCTTCCCACTGCCTGTATAAAAGTCGGTATCCTTCAAACTCCTATTATTACACTTGTTTAATCATACTTAGTCCTTTTTAAGACGTAATTTTTTGTTATTTGAAGCCCCACTCTGGCTTTTGCCAGGGGCCGCAATATAGGCAGGCCACATGGTGGCACTTTGTGACATCGGGTGTTTATCGCTTGTGTGACGTCCTGGTGGGGTAGAAATTCATTCATTCATTCCAACTCCTAGTGCTTCTAGGCTTGCAATCTTGCTCGTATACACATTAAAGAGCACAGGCGAGATGGCTGTTCCCTGCAGCAGTCCTGGGGCCAAACTGCATGGTTCTGAGGTCCAAGCGCCCAGTCGGACAGCAACCTGATGTGAATACAGGGCAGCTGCAACCCAATTCACCAGCCATGGATTGACCTCCTTCTCCTTCTTTGCAGTCATCAAGACGTCATATCTTACTCTGATATAAGCATCCTCGAGATCCAGTCCTACCGCCATAGTTTCCTGACTGTTCAGGAACCCTTCAGAAACATCAAAAGCAAAAGTGGCCGCATTTGCCCAAGTGTCCTTTCCTGGCCTGTAACTTCCAGACCTCTTGGGAGAAGCTTCCCCCTTTCCAAACATTCTTGCAGCTTTACAGCAACTATCTTCTCCAAGACCTTCCCAAATGTATTTTCTAAGGTGATGATTCTAAAGCAACTGAGCTTAGAATGATCTTTAAAAGGTTTTGGTCGGGGGATTAGATAGCTGTGCACCCAGTCTTGCGGTACTGATGCTGTCTTAATGCTTTGGGTAAAACAGTTGGCCATCTCTGCCAGATCTACATTGCTCAAAGCCTTCATGTGGCCATACCTGACTGTAATAAATGGGGTTTGTATTCTCTCGTTGTCTAGGTGGTGTTCATGTGTGTGTCGTGAATGTTCTTATCACACACAACGTTAACGTAACTGGTACAAGCCGACACCAAGTTAGTCGTACGAGCATCGATTTATTGACATGTTATAACTTACAGCAATGTCCAGTGGTTGTCCTAATACACAGCTCTCGCACACGAATTCACGCAGCCTTCAACATGCAGGTTCTTTATGCATTCACTGACCAGAGTCGGCTCCAATAAATCAGGCTGAGCTTCTTGTCATTACACAGACTGGCCTGGTTGATCTTGACTTCACACTGTGTCGTCAGGGTCTCCTTTCGCAACAGGCAATCTTACGTTGACATTCTTACACTCTGTCGCACATCCTCTCGCTCGACACAAACTAAACTTGATCAGAACGAAGTCTGACTTATACCACGGGTTAGTTTCACGTGGCAACACGTGGTGGTCCTTTACTTTCACGTGGCGACCTTTGGTCGCGTCGTCTTGATACCCGTGATAACTAGTGGTCATCACCTATCTCAAGATCCTCGTTTAATCCGAGTATCTGGAACATCTCAAGGTTTTGGGTCAGCTTTGGGCCTTCCCCCCAACCTTCCTAATCTGGGTGAAAATATCCCCCATTGCACTGACCCAATCAGGCCCTAGTGCAGTGTCTTTTGCTTTTTTTCAATTTTTTGTGTGGATATCTTCCATTTGTATCATGTCTTCATATTGCATATTCTTTACGGCGCCAGCTAACTCCTTTCTAACTGCATCCCTGATGTCTACATCATTAGGATCTGTCTGAGCTATAAACCTATAGAGAAAAGTTTCCTCTTTCTCCTTGTCTGTTGTCACATGCACACCATCGTCTCTACAGATTGTTCCCACTGTTATAGGCAGATATTTTCTTTGCAGTTTCCAGAATTTCCCCAATATTTTATCGTCTCCCATATCATTCACAAAATTTTCCCACATTGCTCTTTTGGCCTCTGCAGCACAGCGCTTGAAAACCTCCACCTTATCCTTTTTTACATTCTCCGCCATCTTGACTTGTGAGCTTGAGGGTGTCTGTCGTACTTTCTTTAGCTGCTTCACTGTGGCTCTCTTTGCCCTCCACGCCTGTTCTTCTTTTGGAGTCTACCATAGGGGCTGTAGAAAATTAGTTCTGGCAATTCTGTTGCATGCTCCCTGTCTGTCAGTTTGATGAGTAGATTAACGCAGTCTGATAGACTGGCAGATGAATTGAACGAACAAACTTTAAAAGGGTCACAAATTAGGCACGCAGGCCTGTCTTGCGTTCAGCCATTTCACACTGCAGCTGTATTATGGACTAACAGGGAGATGGGCAGACTGACTCACTGTATGATAGACTGGTAGATGGACTAACAGGGAGATGGGCAGACTGACTCACTGTATGATAGACTGGCAGATGGTATAACAGGGAGATGGGCAGACTGACTCACTGTATGATAGATTGGTAGATGGACTAACAGGGAGATGGGCAGACTGACTCACTGTATGATAGACTGGCAGATGGTATAACAGGGAGATGGGCAGACTGACTCACTGTATGATAGACTGGCAGATGGTATAACAGGGAGATGGGCAGACTGACTCACTGTATGATAGATGTTGATGAACTAACAGGGAGATGGGCAGACTGACTCACTGTATGATAGACTGGCAGATGGTATAACAGGGAGATGGGCAGACTGACTCACTGTATGATAGACTGGCAGATGGTATAACAGGGAGATGGGCAGACTGACTCACTGTATGATAGACTGGCAGATGAACTAACAGGGAGATGGGCAGACTGACTCACTGTATGATAGACTGGCAGATGGTATAACAGGGAGATGGGCAGACTGACTCACTGTATGATAGACTGGCAGATGGTATAACAGGGAGATGGGCAGACTGACTCACTGTATGATAGGCTGGCAGATGGTATAACAGGGAGATGGGCAGACTGACTCACTGTATGATAGGCTGGCAGATGGTATAACAGGGAGATGGGCAGACTGACTCACTGTATGATAGACTGGCAGATGGTATAACAGGGAGATGGGCAGACTGACTCACTGTATAATAGACTGGCAGATGAACTAACAGGGAGATGGGCAGACTAACTCACTGTATGATAGACTGGCAGATGGTATAACAGGGAGATGGGCAGACTGACTCACTGTATGATAGACTGGCAGATGGTATAACAGGGAGATGGGCAGACTGACTCACTGTATGATAGACTGGTTGATGAACTAACAGGGAGATGGGCAGACTGACTCACTGTATGATAGACTGGTTGATGAACTGACAGGGAGATGGGCAGACTGACTCACTGTATGATAGACTGGTTGATGAACTGACAGGGAGATGGGCAGACTGACTCACTGTATGATAGACTGGTTGATGAACTGACAGGGAGATGGGCAGACTGACTCACTGTATGATAGACTGGCAGATGGACTAATAGGGAGATAGATAAAACAGCCAGCTAAGTAGATTGACACAGTCTGATAGACTAGCAGATGAACAGACAGGCAGGTCAGTTCAGTTGTACATAACCTCAGTTGTCCGAATGTTTGTGTGCATCTGTATGAGTGTGTTTGTGAATCTGTATGATAGTTTAGGTATGTGTCAATGTATATATGATAGTGTCCATGTATGAGTATGTGAGAGTATGTAGGAACGTGAGTTTATGAGTATTTGTTATGCATATGTGATTATGAATTTGTAAACTGTGCATATAAGCCAGAATGAGAGAGAACGAACGAACAAACTTTATTTTCAAAGGGTCATAAATTGGGCACACAGGCCTGTCTTACATTCGGCCCTTCCAGTCAACCATCTTTCGCACAGCACTTGTATTTTACTAATAAAGCATGTTATGATCATATGATGGTATGCATATTATGAATATTATAAAAGAACACAAACGCTTGAGTTGTAAAGTGCATGCAAAAACCCGCACGTGCATACACACACCCATATACATGCCTACACACAGGAAGGGTGAGTGGTATATGTGTGTGAGTATATATATTATATGTATTTATATATAATGTTTCAGCACAACACAGAGACTCAGGGCTTGCTAGGAGCTGTGCAGCACAGCCTGCCAGTCTCTACAGGAGTGCCATATCTGCCTTCTCATTTTCTGACACCGCCTGTGATACATTTTGCTGAAATACTGCAGCCTCCTCCACTAACTGTTCCCCCACTGCCACCTGCTCCTCCACCACCACCACCTCCACTGCCACCTGCAGCAACATATGAGCTAGAATGGAATGGCATGCAGGAAAGACAAATTGAAGTAGTGGATCACAAGGTCATTTTGGGCAAACGTGAGCCACAGAATCTGATTTATTGTGATACAACTCCTGCAGACTACAGTGGACAGCAGGAAAGTGTTCAAGGGGCTGCTGATGTGATCCCACAGCCTCACAGAAGTCACCCTGCACGTATGAACAATTCATGTCCGAACGTAACCAGTTCTTTGGATGATGATATTGCCCGATGGTTGCGCCTGATCAGACAGAACCAGGACAGTAGCTCTCCCAATTTACCAGATTTCAGCGTGCACATGTTTGCTGATCAGAGATTTGTTGTTGATAATCGCCAGAGACAAATGTCTTCAAATCTGCTGCCTTCAGCTGATTATTCCAACAGTTCTGAAGATATTCTAACAGCTGACCCAAGATCTGAGTTGTATTCTTCTCTTCCAACAAGAAACAGTAGCCAGCAGTTGCCAGACTCTGACAGCTTTCATAAGCGGTCCACGTTAACTCACTCGCCCTCTGTATCTAGTCACAGAAGTCAGCTGGGAGAAGGGGACACTTATCTGACATATGACAGCCCCAGTGAGGTAGAAAACAACAGACCTGTTAGTCCCAGACATAGAGGGAGATTGCCGAGAAATGATTTGGGCACATGTTTGTCACCTGTACAATCTGTCCCTCTGGGCAGATCTGTGAGTTTTTCCAGGAGACATTCCCTGGGAGAGCATGCCAGAAGTCACAGAGACATTTCACCACAATCTGACCCCAGGAAGTCACTCAGTCAGAGTCAGTCAAAGCATGATTTCCAGTACAGTTCCCCACATTCTGAACCCAGCAGGCCACTCAGTCAGAGTCAGTCAAAGCATGATTCCCAGTACAGTTCACCTCAGTGCTCTGTGGTCAGACAATACCCAAGAGGCCATGTCAAGGATAAGGCATCTGCAAGTTCAGATTATTTGTCCCCACACAGGCTTATTGAGGCTTCTGGTCACAGATCTTCTCCTCCACAGCCGCAAGTGCAGAAAAGACGCAACCATTCTACAGACAAAAGTGATGTCTATGAGCCACAAGTGCCAGCCACCAAGAAGTTGAAGCGGGCTTCCCCGCCCCCTTACATTCCAACCTCCATTAAACCAGCAAGAACATTCACAAGTGTGTACATACCTCAGCATGATTCTCTTGAGACTTCTGATTCTGAGGAAGAGGATCCGATAGCTCTTCGGAACAAGCTTCTAGCAGAGGTTATAGAAAAGAGAAAGAGCCTTGCTGAGGTAAGTGAGCTAGATGTGTTGGCAAGAAGTGACAGCAAGACTTTAAACAGTTTGTGTTGTTTGTGTTTTTAAAAATCTACTAGTTTGCTACTTGTTAGATTACACAGTTAACAGGTTGGTACATGTGGGCATTGTTAGTTTTATATCTTTGTCACCCAGTATTTCACAGTGTTTTATATGCTATATTTATATTTTTATCACCTAGTATTTCAGTGTTTTATATGCTAGATTTATATTTTTGTCTCCTAGTATTTCACAGTGTTTTATATAAAAAAAAAAAAGTAAAGATCCCTTTTCACGCCTTTCGGCGCATCGGGCATATGGGCAGAGCGTCCCATATTTTTACAGACCATCAGCACTCGGTAGGCAATGTGGTCAGCATTACGCCGGCTGTCTTTACTTTCCCAGGACAGCCCATCCTGGTACCCATTTTATATGCTAGATTTATATTTTTGTCACGCAGTATTTCACATTGCTTTAAATGCTATATTTATATCTTTGTCTGCCAATATTTCAGTGTTTTATATGCTAGATTTATATTGTTGTCACCCAGTATTTCACAATATTTTATATGCTAGATTTATATCTTTGTCACCCAGTATTTCACAGTGTTGGTTTTGTATGCTAGATTTGTATCTTCATATGTCTTATGTGCTCAATTTATATCTTTGTCACCTATTATTTCAAATAGTGGCTATATGTGCCAGATTTATATCTTTGTCACCTATTATTTCACAATAGTGGCTATATGTGCCAGATTTATATCTTTGTCACCTATTATTTCACAATAGTGGCTATATGTGCCAGATTTATATCTTTGTCACCTATTATTTCACAATAGTGGCTTTATGTGCCAGATTTATATCTTTTTCACCCAGTATTTCACAATAATTGCATAATATACCAGATTTCAATCTTCAGGGCTTGTAGCGACCCTTGAAAACATGAAAAAAGCTTTGAATGGGAGCTATGCATACTTGATTTCGCCCTTGAAAATAATGATAGCTCTTTAAGTTTGCCTGCCATAATGGAAGAATGAGACATAAAATGATCTGTCTTCGGAAGAATGGTTATTTTTGACAATTTGGCAATTTTCAGCTACCTTAGTTTTAAATGCCCACGATTGTGTTCCAGTGAGCAGAAAGCAGGCGGTCAATTGCCTGTTCATTGTTCTCATTGTTTGGTTTGATGATATGCAGTAGGAAAAGGGCTAGCTGTCTGAGACATGAAACTGTTTGGTTTGATGGTCAGCAGTAGGGAAAGGGCAAGCTGTCTGAGGCATGAAACTGTTTGGTTTGATGGTCAGCAGTAGGGAAAGGGCAAGCTGTCTGAGGCATGAAACTGTTTGGTTTGATGGTCAGCAGTAGGAAAAGGGCAAGCTGTCTGAGACATGAAACTGTTTGGTTTGATGGTCAGCAGTAGGGAAAGGGCAAGCTGTCTGAGGCATGAAACTGTTTGGTTTGATGGTCAGCAGTAGGAAAAGGGCAAGCTGTCTGAGACATGAAACTGTTTGGTTTGATGGTCAGCAGTAGGGAAAGGGCAAGCTGTCTGAGGCATTAAACTGTTTGGTTTGATGGCAAGCAATAGGGAAAGGGCAAGCTGTCTGAGGCATGAAACTGTTTGGTTTGATGGTATGCAGTAGGGAAAGGGCAAGAGACTGTTTGGTTTGATGAGGCAGTGGGAAAACAAGTTTCTGAGGCATGAAAATATGCAGGTATGCAAAAAAAGGGCAAGCTGTCTGAGACATGAATCTGTTGCAGCCATACGCTGACAGCCATGTCTGATGAGGAAGCAAGTCTGTCACCTGCCATGCCCATGCTGATCTGGGACTGCATTTACATTGGGAGATGGTGTGGGCTGGTAAAGGGATGTCACTTTGATTTCCCAATTCTGTTTTTGGCACAGCTATTCTACAGTGTCTTTGGTGCTCAGAGTTCTTATCCCACCTTTTTTCCTTCTTTCCCCCTCTCTTTCCCTTTTCCCTCTCTCATCTATCCATCTCTATACACACATGCCCCTCATTTCCCCTCTGTTTTTCTCTGTCCCACTCTCCCTCAGCAACTGTCTTCCTTCCTTTGTAAGCCATGTCTAGAGCAGGATTTCATTTTGTATCCTTTTGCCACCAAATCTGGAAAAGATGTAAAAACACTATATCTGTGTGTTTATATGTATCCACATGTATGCGCACAAATAAAGTAGAAAAAAATAACCCAGTATTTCACAATAGTAGCCTCATGTGTCAGATTTATATCTAGGTGACCTAGTATTTCACAGAAGTGGTTTCATGTGCTAGATTATCTAGGTAACCTAGTATTTCACAGAAGTGGTTTCATGTGCTAGATTATCTTGGTGACCTAGTATATCACAGAAGTGGTTTCATGTGCTAGATTATCTAGGTGACCCAGTATTTTACAGAAGTGGTTTCATGTGCTAGATTATCTAGGTGACCTAGTATATCACAGAAGTGGTTTCATGTGCTAGATTATCTAGGTGACCCAGTATTTCACTGAAGTGGTTTCATGTGCTAGATTATCTAGGTGACCTAGTATATCACAGAAGTGGTTTCATGTGCTAGATTATCTAGGTGACCCAGTATTTCACAGAAGTGGTTTCATGTGCTAGATTATCTAGGTGACCTAGTATATCACAGAAGTGGTTTCATGTGCTAGATTATCTTGGTCACCCAGTATTTCACAGAAGTGGTTTCATGTGCTAGATTATCTTGGTCACCCAGTATTTCACAGAAGTGGTTTCATGTGCTAGATTATCTTGGTCACCCAGTATTTCACTGAAGTGGTTTCATGTGCTAGATTATCTAGGTGACCCAGTATTTCACAGAAGTGGTTTCATGTGCTAGATTATCTAGGTGACCCAGTATTTAACAGAAGTGGTTTCATGTGCTAGATTATCTAGGTGACCTAGTATATCACAGAAGTGGTTTCATGTGCTAGATTATCTTGGTGACTTAGTATATCACAGAAGTGGTTTCATGTGCTAGATTATCTTTGTCACCCAGTATTTCACAGAAGTGGTTTCATGTGCTAGATTATCTTGGTCACCCAGTATTTCACAGAAGTGGTTTCATGTGCTAGATTATCTTGGACACCCAGTATTTCACAGAAGTGGTTTCATGTGCTAGATTATCTTGGTCACCCAGTATTTCACAGAAGTGGTTTCATGTGCTAGATTATCTTGGTCACCCAGTATTTCACAGAAGTGGTTTCATGTGCTAGATTATCTTGGTCACCCAGTATTTCACAGAAGTGGTTTCATGTGCTAGATTATCTTGGTCACCCAGTATTTCACAGAAGTGGTTTCATGTGCTTAGATTATCTTGGTCACCCAGTATTTGACAATGTTTGTTTCATGTGCAGGTTTTAAGCAGATAACTCTTGTATTTGTTTGATGCTCCATTCACAGACTGTGTCCAACAACACAGCCACGCCTTTTGGAATGACCCCAAGACAAGAATCCACACACGCTGAGTCATTTGAAGCCTTTTGTAAGACTGATGTCCATGCAATGTCAAGCAAATGTCCAGACAGATTTAAATCTTCCAGTATACTTGCTAGAGTCTCTGAGGAAGACAAAGAAATGGAAGATGATGAAGACATCAAGCCACCTCCTGTTATAAACCGACGTGTGAGGCAGAAAGTGGTGCCAGAAACACTAGCTGAACTCTGCACAAGAGAAGTCTGCTTGCCAGGAGCCAGTGCCAGCAGACAAGAGGAGCACCTGGAGTTGCAAGATCAGGGCCAGCCAGTTCCAGGAAGTTTAGGTGCAGAATATTTTACGCTGGATACAACAGTTGAACAGAGGATAAGGAAGGCCTTTCTAACTCAGATCTTCAGATTCTCAGGGATTTTATCGTGAGGGCACAGAGATACAACCTACAGAGGCAGTCATTGAGTCTAGAAACTAACAGACAAAGGCAGTCATTGAGTCCAGAAACTAACAAACAAAGGCAATCACTGAGTCCAGAAACTAACAAACAAAGGCAATCACTGAGTCCAGAAACTAACAAACAAAGGCAATCACTGAGTCCAGAAACTAACAAACAAAGGCAATCACTGAGTCCAGAAACTAACAGACAAAGGCAATCACTGAGTCCAGAAACTAACAAACAAAGGCAATCACTGAGTCCAGAAACTAACAAACAAAGGCAATCACTGAGTCCAGAAACTAACAAACAAAGGCAATCACAGAGTCCAGAAACTAAGACTGATGATCAGATTCCACAAGAAATGCTGTGCTCTACTGCAGCACATGCAGCTTTGTCTGTATTAGACAGGGATGAATCAGACTTGGTTATAAACGTGTCCTCTTCATCTTGGAATAATTCTAAAATTAATGTCTCTGAGGATCCACAGGTGTCTTCAGGCGAGTCTTTGCTCTCTGCAGCATTAGGAAATTCTGTTTCAGCACATGGGATTTCTTCCTCCCATGTCACCTCATCTATGTCCTCCAGCATCACTGCTCAACCACCACCAATATTGGGTGGAGTCATCCAGACTGCAGGTGCATCGTCATCTGGTGTGTGTTCAGGCCAGTCACCATTGGTGTTTTCAAAGCCATCTGCATTATCTGACCTTTCAGCACAAACTCCTGCAGATTCTAATAGTTCTTCAGCTGCAACTATCACTAAAGCATCACCAGTCACAAGTGAACCAGAAGCAGGACGTCAGAGTAACTTAGCTTGTGGTTCAGATCAAAGGCTGCATTTCTTGTCTGCAACCACTGCTCATAACGTGGACACTGCTGCAACAGAAGAACACAAGACACCTGCAAGAAACCTCAACAGTCAGAACTCTGAAAGAAAACCTGACCTTGGACCCGGGAGTAAACTACAGCAAGATTATGACATATCTTCAGCTGCCAGTGGCATCAGTGTGTTACGCAGTGACAGTGTCAGTAATCAACATGGTGCTGTTGTCAAAACTACACAACACAGGGGCTCTGCACAAGTCTTAGTTTCAGACTCAGCGACATCTTTGTTTAGTGATCGCCCGACTCTTTTGTATTCCAGTCATGCATATTCTTCATTTGCTTCAAGAAAATATCCAAATGTGAGTATTGTTTTTGGTTGTTGCATCTAAACTGTTTTCCCCATCTTTTAGTTCTGAACCTGTGTCACTAGTAGTTGTTTAAATGTCTACATTGTCTGAATGTCTGCACTGGGCCACTTATAGTTGTTTGAATGTCTACACTGGACCGCTTGTAATTGTTTGAATGTCTGCACTCTGCTACTTGTGGTTGTCTCAATGTCTGCACTGGGCCACTTGTGGTTGTCTCAATGTCTGCACTGGGCCACTTGTGGTTGTCTCAATGTCTGCACTGGGCCACTTGTAATTGTTTGAATGTCTGCACTGGCCCGCTTGTAATTGTTTGAATGTCTGCACTCTGCCACTTGTGGTTGTCTCAATGTCTGCACTGGGCCACTTGTAGTTAAAATGTCTGCACTGGACCGCTTGTAATTGTTTGAATGTCTGCACTCTGCCACTTGTGGTTGTCTCAATGTCTGCACTGGGCCACTTGTAGTTAAAATGTCTGCACTGGCCCGCTTGTAATTGTTTGAAATGTCTGCACTCTGCTACTTGTGGTTGTCTCAATTCTACTGGGCCCTTGTAGTTGTTAAAATGTCTGCACTCTGCCACTTGTGGTTGTCTCAATGTCTGCACTGGGCCACTTGTGGTTGTCTCAATGTCTGCACTGGGCCACTTGTAGTTAAAATGTCTGCACTGGCCCGCTTGTAATTGTTTGAATGTCTGCACTCTGCCACTTGTGGTTGTCTCAATGTCTGCACTGGGCCACTTGTAGTTGTTAAAATGTCTGCACTCTGCCACTTGTGGTTGTCTCAATGTCTGCACTGGGCCACTTGTGGTTGTCTCAATGTCTGCACTGGGCCACTTGTAGTTAAAATGTCTGCACTGGACCGCTTGTAATTGTTTGAATGTGTTGAGTGTTAAGCTAAAAACTAACATCACAGCGCTCTGGTATTTTCATTACACATACTGGCCTCATCTTCAGCAGCCAGCGAAACATTGCAATTCATAAACAGTTTGAATAAATTTCTGTCTTGCCTTCTCTGAATGTAGAGTTACCAAATTCAAAGTCATTAAATGTAATCATCATTTTCATCAATTTCTACTTCTGCCATTAGACGTTGTGGGGAGGAACAGTTTATGATCCGTTGCTTAATGGGCAGCATTGGCTGTTGTCATTCTGTGTCGACGTAGATGCTCTTTAATGTCATCAATCCATCTTCTCCTAAGGCGACCTTTTGCTTTCACTTCAGATCTTTTCATGCTAGCACCTGCACTGGTAATTGTTCTGGCTGCATTCTTTCTAAATAATGAAACCATTTGATCTTCTGTTTCTCAGTGAATTTGTTGCATGCTGTTGTTCCTACAATTAGTCTGAATATATCATTTCTAACTTTGTCTCAGGTGGTCAAGTGGGCGGTTTTCTCACGCATCTCATTTCACAGGTGTTAATTTTATATAGGTTAGCCTTTGATAATGTCCAAGTGTGGCACAGGTAGCACAGTGTTGGTATGAATATGTTGTTTATATCGTGTTTCTTGGCGCTCAGACTTATGTTTGGATGTCTTAATAACGGTGTCAGTTGGTATATTGGCTTGTTGGCATATAAGTGCACTGGATTGTTGTCATATAAGTGTACTGGCTTGTTGGCATATAAGTGCACTGGCTTGTTGGCATATAAGTGCACTGGCTTTTTGCATATAAGTGCACTGGCTTGTTGGCATATAAGTGCACTGGCTTGTTGACATCTTGTTTCTATTTCCTGATCTTTTCTCCAATCATCCGAGAGTTAATTTCCTAGATATTTAAATTATGTAACCTACTTCAGACATGTGCCCACCATTCAACCCGAGGATGTGTGCAGACTAGGAATTCTGCTGACCTGCATTACTTCAGTTTTTGTAGGATTTAATTTTATGTGATCTTCTTCTGCTACATGTTGAACTGAGCCTGTTGAAATGTTCTTGCAGTCTACTCACCTCATTGTAGTCAATGTCATCATGGCTGAAAATGGTCACACCTTGATGGAGAGTACAGAAATATTATAGAGGTGGAAAGAGTACTGCAGACAAGGGTACAACATTATTGTGACAGATTGATGCAGTGCACTTCTTCTTTTGGCTCAGGCACATTGATGGATAATTCTGGAGGAAATCTTGGACATGAACAAATTTTGAGAACGCTGAAAAGCTGATAAAAATTGTTTCATTGCTGCAACGGTGTTTTCCTCGTTCAGTGGACCAGAGGTTTGGTGTCAGGCCTGAGGTTATCAACATCGGAATTCCATTTTAAATATTAACATGACATTTCTGACAAAACAAATATTTTATATATATATATATATGTGTGTGTGTGTGTGTTTGTGTAGGTGTGTATGAAATGATGCAAAGACCACCCTTTTAGAAGCAGACGCAATTAGAGCAGGATTAAAGAAGCATAATTGAAAACCTTGGGTAAATGATGACACCTGGTAGTATTAAGGAAGGAAAGCATTGAAGTTTGCTTTATGCAAAAAATCTTGCAAGCATTACTTCAGATGTCCTGCATAGTTAGCATCCTTTAGATTTTTTCTCCAGGTAATACCAGTGTGTTGGTGGAAGTGAGCAGGCAGATAGACTGGCCGGTTCTGCACCACTTGGTGGCCAATTGATGAATCACAAGCTAGATGATGTGAGGGCCCTTTGGGAGCAAGTTAACAGGGCAGAGGCACAGATTGATCATTACAGTCTAAGGAGAATGGCACTGTGAGGCGATTCCAGGGGATCTGGCTGATGCTCAGGGGAAAGGGGAGATGGATGTACAATCAGTTACTGGTGTCATTGAAACTAGAACTCTTCACTTGCTGCTGAAGATGGGGATGGAGCGCTTTTGGAAGTGTCCTGAGTGCCGTGATGTCTATTCTTAATTCAACATTTATGCTCAGCAAACCAAATTAATATGTAATCGCCATGGTTGTCTGTGAATTATTTCCATTCTTCACTCACATAGAGGACTCACAGCAAGATATTGAACACATAGGCCTTTTGACCAGTGATGTATCTGTGTGTAAATATATATTTCCTTAGGTACATGCACTTCCTGTGCACCCAAAAGTGCTGGTGCCAATGAACTCATCGTCTGACAGTGATGGGGAGAGCCATGAGGAGGATAACAGTCAGACTTCAGCAGCCAGGGCTGGGCATGGAGGCAAGGAGAAGACTGTAGAAATGTTGGCGACTTCTCCGGGGCTGTTAACTGAGGTAGGTTTCACAGCAGGGTCAGTTTTCCCTGTCCTAGATATGGTAGCCGTTCTTGCTGACATATATTTTGCTATTCCTACTGACCTATATATGGTAGGAATACTTACTGACTTTTATATGGTAGCTATATTTACTGACATATATGGTAACCATAAAAAATGTCTTAAATATAGTAGCTTTACTTACTGACATATATGGTAGCCGTACTTACTGATTTATATATGGTAGCCGTACTTACTGATTTATATATGATTGCCTGAACTAACTGATTTATATATGGTAGCCATACTTACTGATTTATATATGGTAGCCATACTTACTGATTTATATATGGTAGCTGTACTTACTGATTTATATATGGTAGCCATACTTACTGATTTATATATGGTAGCCGTACTTACTGATTTATATATGGTAGGCGTACTTACTGATTTATATATGGTAGGCGTACTTACTGATTTATGTATGGTAGGCGTACTTACTGACTTATGATGCCTAAGAAGAATACTTGGCATTAAGTGGCAGGACAAAATCGCAAACACTGAGGTACTGGAAAGAGCAGGTACTTCAACAGTCTTTTCCATGCTCAGTCTACGAAGACTCAGGTGGCTGGGTCACACCTAGAGAATGGAGGATGGTAGAGTCCCTAAGGACATACTTTAAGGTGAATTAAAGACAGGAAGAAGATGTCGAGGCCGACCTCTACTACGTTATAAAGATGTGTGCAAGCGGGACATGAATGAAACAGGTATTGAGGTGGACTCATGGGAACAAAATGCCATGGACCGTGTTGTATGGAAAGGGCAAATCAGGAAGGGAATGAGACTGAAGGAAGAAATGACTGCAGAAAGGATAAGAGCTGAGCGTCTGAAAAGAAGTGGATTAAACACAAACATTGTTAACAATGGTCCTGAAATCCCATGCTATCATTGTGGAAGACTTTTCTTGACACAGGCTGGTCTTGCTAGTCATACTCGCTATCACCAAGGGCTTTGAATCTCATGCCTCATAGCGCAGTATAACACTATCATCTGGAAAGACGGAAAGGTACCAATGAAATACTTACTGACTTAAGTATGGTAGCCATACTTACTGACTTATGTATGGTAGCTGTATTTACTCACTTACATATGGTAGCCATTCTTACTGACTTATGTATGGTAGCTATACTCACTGACTTATGTATGGTAGCTATACTCACTGACTTATGTATAGTAGCTGTATTTACTCAATTACCTATGGTAGCCATACTCACTAAGTTATGTATGGTAGCTATACTTACTGAATTATATATGGTAGCAGTATTTACTCACTTACATATGGTAGCCATACTTACTGACTTATGTATCGTAGCTCTATTTACTCATTTACATATGGTAGCTCACTGACTTATGTATGGTAGCCATACTTACTGACTTATATTTGGTAGCTATACTTACTGACTAGTTTGAGTTTGTAGTTTTAAAAAAGGATCAACATCACGGCACACGGGTAGTAACCCACAAGTGCTCCGTTCTTCTTCTAACTCAAGTGTGAGTCCGAAGAAGCTCAGGATAGTGCACAGGCTTTATAGCACTGGTGGGGATCCTGAAATACTTTGGGTAGATTTTCAAGTCCCATTTTTACCCAGGCAGCGCCGTTAGGCTACTCTTTTTGATTTCCAACTGCCAAGGGATTTTTTAAGTGTGCAACACTGCACACGGGCATCCGATCTCACTACCCAAAGACCAGGGGGAATTACCAGAAGTCTAAGTCCGTGTGAAAAACATCCCAGCCCTTAGCAAGGATTGAACCCGGAACCTCTAGCACTCGAGGCAGATGCCATTCCAGCCCTTAGCGAGGATTGAACCCGGAACCTCTAGCACTCGAGGCAGACACAATTCCAGCCCTTAGCAAGGATTGAACTTGGAACCTCTAGCACTCGAGGCAGACGCCATGCCCCGAGACCAAACAGCCTCCAAATGACTTATGTATGGTAGCTATACTTACTGACTTACATGTGGTAGCTATACTTACTGACTGACAGCTGACATGACTGAGAGCTTGCCACTGGTGATTGAACCCAGACAGCTCTTCTAGCACTGATTTGTTGTGACTGTACACAGGTGCAGGAGAACAAGAAGGCAGCAACAGAGCTTCTGGGCAAACAAGAACAGCTGCTGAGTGCCCATGAGTGAGTTGTCGGGGCTTGTAGTCTCTGTGCTTGTGTTCTCCATGTCTGGTGATACCATTGTTTGGTGTTACCTATGTCTTGTGATACCTATGTCTGGTGTTACCCATTTCTTGTGTTACCCATGTCTGGTGTTAGCCATGTCTGGTGTTACCCATGTCTTGTGATACCTATGTCTTGCGTTACCCATGTCTTGTGTTACCCTTGTCTTGTGTTACCCATTTTGCTGGATTTTCTCCACTTTAAGCACTTCAGCAGCTAAAAGTATGTAGACTTTCTATTTCACTTCCAGATACCTGATGACAGTCATTTGTGAATATTAATCCACAAACAATATTTTAAAGTTTCTTAGATGAATGTGTTGGGATTATGTCTGTCGCACTGACAAGAGATATTTTACATATAAGTTTCTGACATGAATGTTTGGGATTGTGTCTGTCCCACTGACAAGAGATGTTTTGCGTATAAGTTTCTAACATGAATATTTGGGATTGTTTCTGTCACACTCACAAGAGATGTTTTACATGCAAGTTTCTAACATGAATATTTGGGATTGTTTCTGACACACTGACAAGAGATGTTTTACATGCAAGTTTCTAACATGGATATTTGGGATTGTGTCTGTCACACTCACAAGAGAAGTTTTACATGCAAGTTTCTAACATGAATATTTGGGATTGTTTCTGTCACACTGTCAAGAGATGTTTTACATGCAAGTTTCTAACATGAATATTTGGGATTGTTTCTGTCACACTGACAAGATGTTTTACATGCAAGTTTCTAACATGAATATTTGGGATTGTTTCTGTCACACTCACAAGAGATGTTTTACATGCAAGTTTCTAACATGGATATTTGGGATTGTTTCTGTCACACTGACAAGAGATGTTTTACATGCAAGTTTCTAACATGAATATTTGGGATTGTTTCTGTCACACTGACAAGAGATGTTTTACATGCAAGTTTCTAACATGGATATTTGGGATTGTTTCTGTCACACTCACAAGAGATGTTTTAAATGCAAGTTTCTAACATGGATATTTGGGATTGTTTCTGTCACACTGACAAGAGATGTTTTACATGCAAGTTTCTAACATGAATATTTAGGATTGTGTCTGTCACACTGACAAGAGATGTTTTACATGCAAGTTTCTAACATGAATATTTGGGATTGTTTCTGTCACACTGACAAGAGATGTTTTACATGCAAGTTTCTAACATGAATATTTGGGATTGTTTCTGTCACACTGACAAGAGATGTTTTACATGCAAGTTTCTAACATGAATATTTGGTATTGTTTCTGTCACACTGACAAGAGATGTTTTACATGCAAGTTTCTTACATGGATATTTGGGATTGTTTCTGTCACACTGACAAGAGATGTTTTACATGCAAGTTTCTAACATGGATATTTGGGATTGTGTCTGTCACACTGACAAGAGATGTTTTACATGCAAGTTTCTAACATGAATATTTGGGATTGTTTCTGTCACACTGACGAGATGTTTTACATGCAAGTTTCTAACATGGATATTTGGGATTGTTTCTGTCACACTGACAAGAGATGTTTTAAATGCAAGTTTCTGATATGAATGTTTGTGATTGTCATACTGTCCGGAGATATTTACATATAAGTTTCTGATATCAGATATGAATGTTTGTGATTGTCTGTCATACTGTCAGGAGATATTTACATATAAGTTTCTGATAATATCAGATATGAATGTTCCTGTGTGTACTTGGGCAAGGGGAGACAAGCCTCACCAGCCTTCTGTATCATCTAGGGCAGTAGTCAGAAAATTGCGGCTCACGAGCCGCTGCTTCTCTTTAGCGACTTGAGTGTGGCTCGGCCAGTGGGCCACAGATTAGTTTTGGCTCTGAAAAACATGGTTCTTGACAAGCAATTTGGCTCTCAACAATTTTTTTAATTGTCCTGCTGATGACTTTTGGCTGTTTCAGCTAAAGAGTTTGCCAACAACGGATCTAGGGTGATGTAGTTGTCTCTGTGAGCTATGGATGATGATAATGTTGATGGTGTCTTTACAGACAGTCCATACAGAAGGACCAGAAGATGGTCAAGCAGTTGGTCAGGAGAGCAGTGAAGTTTCTAGAGGCCCAGCAGCAAGAGGAGCAGAAACGGCAGTCGTTGCACCGGCAGTTGCTTGATTTGTCTCGGGAGATGAAGAAGACTGAGAAACTGGTGATGATGTTCAAGGCTGAGAAGGAGAAAACAGAGAAGCAGGTAACACTGTTATCCTAATATTGTCACATTGTTTGCTCTGAATATTGTGGGGTCTGAATATTGTAAGATTGCGTTGTCTGATAAGATTGTGTGGTCTGAATATTGTAATATTGTGTGGCCTGAACATTGTAAGATTGTATGGTCTGAACGTTGTAAGATTGTGTGTTCTAAGTAATGTTCTACATTAGTGAAGTCTGGTGTATATGCCATCATTGTCTCATGTTCTGTGACATGAGTGAAGTCTGGGAAAGCAGTAGCTTACTGTATTTGCCATTAATGTCTCATTTTCTGTGACAGGTGCAGCTGGTGACTGAAACACTGCTGCAAAAGAAGAAACAGTATGAAAGAAAAGCCAGATCCGTCATGTCTCTAGGCTGCAAACTACTGGGACCCTCCTATGTGTCACGTTTCAGGAAGCCTTATGTAACCTTACCTTCGGTAAGTTTGTATGTATGTCAGTGAGTGTGTGTCACATTTCATGAATCCTTATGTAACCATAACTTCAATTAGTTTCTCTGTATGTATGTATGTCAGTGAGTGTGTGCCATGTTTCAGGAAGTCTTATATAACCTCACCTTTAGTGAGTTCCCGTGTATGTCAGTGAGTGTGTGTCGCGTTTCAGGAATCCTTATGTAACCATGCCTTCAGGGAGTTTCTCTGTCTGTATTTCAATGATTGTGCCGCATTTCAGGAAGCCTTATGTAATCATACCTTCAGTGAGTTTCTGTGTATGTATGTCAGTGAGTGTGTTACATTTCATGAATCCTTATGTATCCATACATTCAATGAGTTTCTCTGTATGTATGTCAGTGAGTGTGTGCCATGTTTCAGGAAGTCTTATATAACCATGCCTTCAGTGAGTTTCTCTGTCTGTATTTCAATGATTGTGCCGCGTTTCAGGAAGCCTTTTGTAACCATGTCTTCAGTGAATTTCTCTGTCTGTATGTCATTGACTATGTCATGTTCAGGAATCCTTATGTAACCTTGCCTTCAGTGAGTTTCTCTGTATGTCGATGACTGTATGTTATGTTCAGGAATCCTTATGTAACCATGTCTTCAGTGAGTTTCTCTGTATGTCAGTGACTATGTCATATTCAGGAAGCCTTATGTAACCTTGCCTTAAGTGAGTTTCTCTGTCTGTATGTCAGTGACTATGTCATGTTCAGGAAACCTTATGTAACCTTGTCTTCAGTGAGTTTCTCTGTATGTCAGTGACTATGTCATGTTCAGGAAGCCTTATGTAACCTTGCCTTCAGTGAGTTTCTCTGTATGTCGATGGCTGTATATTATGTTCAGGAATCCTTTTGTAACCTTGCCTTCAGTGAATTTCTCTGTATGTTGATGACTGTATGTTATGTTCAGGAATGTGTGTTATGTTCAGGAATCCTTGTGTAATCATGCTTTCGGTGTTTTTCTCTATATATTATAATGTATGTCACTGAGTGTATGTCATGTTTCAGGAATCCCTATGAAACCATGCCTTCAGTGAGTTCAATTAGTTCCTGTGTGTTTTATGTCAGTGAGTGTGTGCCATGTTTCAGGAAGTCTTATGTAACCTTGCCTTCAATGAGTTCCTTTGTATGTATGTCAGTGAGTGTATGTCACGTTTCGGAATCCTTATGCAACCATGCCTTCAGTGAGTTTCTCTGTATGTATGTCAGTGAGTGTGTGTCGTGTTTCAGGAAGTCTTTTGTAACCTTGCCTTCAATGAGTTCCTGTGTATGTATGTCAGTGAGTGTTTATCATATTTCGGAATCTTTATGCAACCATGCCTTCAGTGAGTTTCTCTGTATGTATGTCAGTGAGTGTGTGTGTCATGTTTCAGGCTTATGTAACCATGCCTTCAGTGAGTTCCTGTGTATGTATGTCAGTGTGTGTGTGCCATGTTTCAGGCTTATGTAACCATGACTTCAGTGAGTTTCTCTGTATGTATGTTGATGAGTGTATCTGTCTATTCATTTATGTCTGTATGTCGATGAGCAAATCTGTTTGTTAATTTATGTCTATATGTCAAAGAGTGTATTTGTTCATTTATATCTGTATGTCGAGATGAGTGTATCTCTATGTATGTTTTTGTATTATGTATGTATCTCTGTATGTTGTGAGTGTGTATCTGTATTCATGTGTTTTTGTATTATGTATGTATCTCTGTATGTTGTGAGTGTGTATCTGTATTCATGTGTTTTTGTATTATGTATGTATCTCTGTATGTTGTGAGTGTGTATCTGTATTCATGTGTTTTTGTATTATGTATGTATCTCTGTATGTTGTGAGTGTGTATCTGTATTCATGTATGTCTGTATGTAATTGAGTGTGTGTCTTTGTTCATATATGTCTTTGTAAAGATGAGTATCTGTCTCTGCTCTTGTATGTCTGTAAATCAGTTTATTGGCTTGTGTTTTCAGAATAAGTTTCCTGTATGTCTTTGTCAGTTATTCTTCTTCTGCTTTTTTCATTCACTTAAAATAGATTATCTGTATTCACAGTGTGGTCTCTGGTTTGAACTTCACTGACTTCTGTCATTCACTTAGTGACCCGTACAGTTTCTCTTGCACTGGTGTTTCTCTTGGCCAAAAGTTTTGCCTTGATATGTTGTATTTGGGACAGTCTTAGAGGACATGATCTGTTGTGTCAGGTGCCAATCCACATGTGCACATAGCTAATTTGCCAATCTCAGATTGTGTGTACACGTGTCTGTGAAGAAGTTTTTAGTCACAGTTCATTGGATTAACTCATATTGTCATATATGTCTGTCTGTCAGTGAGTGCAGGCAGACTAACTGTACTGTATGTCATTGTGTGCTAGCTTATGTTTTCAAACTTTCTGTCCTGCATGTCTGTATGTGATTGACTGATGGCTTGTGTCTCAGACTGTCCTGTGTGTCAGTTAGTGCTGGCTTGTGTCTCAGACTGTCTTGTGTGTCAGTTAGTGCTGGCTTGTGTCTCAGGCTGTCCTGTGTGTCAGTTAGTGCTGGCTTGTGTCTCAGACTGTCCTGTGTGTCAGTTAGTGCTGGCTTGTGTCTCAGGCTGTCCTATGTGTCAGTTAGTGCTGGCTTGTGTCTCAGACTGTCCTGTGTGTCAGTTAGTGCTGGCTTGTGTTTCAGACTGTCCTGTGTGTCAGTTAGTGCTAGCTTGTGTCTCAGACTGTCCTGTGTGTCAGTTAGTGCTGGCTTGTGTCTCAGACTGTCCTGTGTGTCAGTTAGTGCTGGCTTGGGTACTCTGACTAAGTGTCCCATAGAAGTGTATGTGGTTGACTGCTAGTTTGTATTCTCAGCCTAACTGTCCTGTATGTCTGTATGTTATTGAGTTTTGGCTTGTGTTCTTAGAGTAACTGTCCCGTATGTCTGTATGTCAGTGAGTGCTGGCTAGTGTTCTCAAACTGTCCCTTATGTCTGTATTTCAAAAAGTGCTGGCTAGTGTTCTCAGACAAACCATACTTTATGTCAGTGTGTGCTAGCTTGTGTTCTCAGGCTGTCCTGTATGTGATTGACTGCTGGCTTTTGTTCTCAGACTAACTGTCCTGTATGTCTGTATGTCAATAAGTGCTAGCTTGTGTTCTCAGACTGTCCTGTATGTGATTGACTGCTGGCTTTTGTTCTCAGACTAACTGTCCTGTATATCTGTACACAGGCTTTAACAGTCCCAGAGAAGCAGAACTTGTCCAGGGCTCAGCATATAGCACAAGAGAAGCTAAAACTAATTGAGAAAGAAAAACAGATTGCTGAAAAGTTGCGGAAACTGAAAGAAGCACAAGGAGAGAAAGATACAGAGATGCCCTCATCAGTGAAGCATGTGCCAGATCTTTTAAAAAGTGTTCAGCCAAAGTGGAAATCCCAGGATGTGATTAGAATTGAAAGTGATGCACAACCAGATGTTCCATCAATGAAACAGAGACGCAAATCATTGTTGGATATGAACATGAGTACGACTCCAAATATTCCTTTGACCCCACATAGAGCGCATTCATCATCATTATCATCTGCAGAGAAAGAATATTTGTCAGAAACTAAAGTGGAAATGAAACAGCAAGACCAGTTTGCTGACTTGAGTTCAACTTTCAGAATGCCAGGTGGCACACAGCTGGCCAACTTCTGTAAACTTCAGGTATGACTTTTCTGACTGTTTCCTGCTTTATTTATCAATGATTTTTCTGTTTCTGCTTGTTTTCTTGCTTCCAGTTTTGCTACTTGCCTGCTTGTCTTTTAATCCTTGTTTCCTTTTTCGGGACTTATCTGTTTCCTTGCTTTATTTATTGAGGACTTATCTGTGTATTTGCCTTCCTTATTCAGGACTAATCTGTTTCTTAACTTTTACAGTGGGAACAGATCTGTGACTATTATGTTTGTCTGTTACTGCGGGAACAGATCTGTGACTATTATGTTTGTCTGTTACTGCGGGACAGATCTGTGACTATTATGTTTGTCTGTTACTGCGGGAACAGATCTGTGACTATTATGTTTGTCTGTTACTGCGGGGACAGATTTCAGACAATTAATTGTATTTGTTACTGCTGAAAAAGACAGTGAAGTTTCTGCAGATGTGTGACTAATGACTGCAAGTTCCAGACAGTTATACCCATCTGGCCATAATTGCCCCTTAAATTTGTAAGTCTATTTAACTGAAGCATACCTGGTACCAGCCAACACACAGCATCAAGCTGTGATACACTTCAGAGAAATTTCTTATTATCATGCATGCAGCACAAGACACATAGTTAATACATACTTTTCATGTGCACTTGATAGCTAGACTTCAACACTCAACAAACCTGATAAAAAATGAAAATCAGCACACGCAAATGTGACACTCCTAAATGTTGTCTTATTTGTACCTAACATACTACATTTGTACCTAACATACTACATTTGTACCTAACATACTACATTTGTACCTAACATACTACATTTGTACCTAACATACTACATTTGTACCTAACATACACATCTACTAACATTTCTAACATCTATCTTAACATACTACATCTAACATCTACCTAACATACTACATCTACCTAACATCTACCTAACATCAACATACTACATCTATCTAACATACTACATCTACCTAACATACTACATCTACCTAACATACTACATCTATCTAACATACTACATCTACCTAACATACTACATCTACCTAACATACTACATCTACCTAACATACTACATCTACCTACATCTATCTAACATACTACATCTATCTAACATACTACATCTACCTAACATACTACATCTATCTAACATACTACATCTACCTAACATACTACATCTACCTAACATACTACATCTATCTAACATACTACATCTATCTAACATACCTATCTATCTAACATCTACAACATACTACATACCTACATACTACATCCATCTAACATACTACATCTACCTAACATACTACATCTATCCTAACATACTACATCTACCTAACATACTACATCTATCTAACATACTACATCTATCTAACATACTACATCTATCTAACATACTACATCTACCTAACATACTACATCTACCTAACATACTACATCTACCTAACATACTACATCTATCTAACATACTACTAACATACTACATTTATCTAACATACTACATTTATCTAACATACTACATTTATCTAACATACTACATTTCTACCTAACATACTACATTTATCTAACATACTACTCTAACATACACATTTACCTACCATTTATCTAACATACTACATTTATCTAACATACTACATACTACATACTACATCTACCTAACATACTACATTTCTACCTAACATACTACATCTACCTAACATACTACATTTCTACCTAACATACTACATTTCTACCTAACATACTACATTTCTACCTAACATACTACATTTCTACCTAACATACTACATTTCTACCTAACATACTACATCTACCTAACATACTACATCTACCTAACATACTCTACATACTACATCTATACCTAACACATACTACATCATCTACATAATACATACTAACATATACATACCTAACATACTACATCTACCTAACATACTACATCTACCTAACATACTACATCCATCTAACATACTACATATACCTAACATACTACATCTATCTAACATACTACATCTATCTAACATACTACATCTAACATACTACATCTATCTAACATACTACATTTATCTAACATACTACATCTACCTAACATACTACATACTACATCTACATACATAACTACATACTAACATACTACATCTACCTAACATACTACATCTACCTACATCTAACATACATCTACCTAACATACTACATCTATCTAACATACTACATCTACCTAACATACTACATCTACCTAACATACTACATCTACATACTACATCTACCTAACATACTACATCTACCTAACATACTACATTTCTACCTAACATACTACATCTATCTAACATACTACATTTCTACCTAACATACTACATTTCTACCTAACATACTACATCTATCTAACATACTACATCTACCTAACATACTACATCTACCTAACATACTACATCTACCTAACATACTACATTTCTACCTAACATACTACATCTACCTAACATACTACATCTACCTAACATACTACATCTACCTAACATACTACATCTACCTAACATACTACATCTACCTAACATACTACATCTACCTAACATACTACATCTACACAATCATGACTTAATATAATAGAAAATTTCCTCCACTAAAGCTGATATACACTTCCAGGACAATCGTTACAGGGTCCATTCCTCTTATGACTTTCTACAAGCATGGCTACTTGGCATAGGTGAAGTTCGGTCTGCTTTGTTTATCTCTTAATCTTTCCTTCCTTCTTTTAGTTTCTTTTTGTAGATTACCATAACTGCCGTTTGCCTCGCTAGCATTCTTCATTGTCACCATCTTTGTCTACAGTCGGTCCACTGACCCATATTATTGGCCAGTTATAGTTCCCAGCACTAATCTGCTACATATGTTTGTTGTTAACTGTCCATTGCTAACTGTGAACTCTTCCTAAATATGCTTTTGTTGCTGTTTACCAGTAACTAGGTCAACTTCACAATGTCTGGGGAGGGGGGGGGGGGTGTGTTTTTTTTTAACCAGATTCAACAGGTGCCAGTTGAGATTTCTCATGATTAGTTTCAGTCTGCGAATTTGACCCATGATTGTGATTTCCAGCTCTGTTTACTGGAAACAAGGTGAAAATCATTTGCTCAAAGCAGGGGATGATTTCTGTCTGTCTGTGAAAAACTGAAACCATTGTGTTCGATAATAATTTAATTACCCTGGGGAAATCTGTTCCACTGAAGGCCATCTATAAGTTGAAATTTGGTCAGGTGGTTGCAATAATTAACTAGATACTTGACTGGGACATTATAATAATATTATGCTTTCTGATGAAATTAATTAACTAGCTTACTTTGGTGAAAATCTGTGCTCACATGGCATGTGTTTGAATGCACTGTATCTGCTTGTTATAAGCAGGGTTCAATTCTTCCTGTTTTAAAACTTTTAAATGAACATGACAGATATATTTACCACCTAAAGTTATTAAGTCGGTACACAGATCTATTACAGTGTGGATGTATTACCTATGTTTTTTACAGCGGGAAAAGACAGTGAGGTTTCTGCAAAACCCATACCCCTCGTCACCTTTAGCAGAAACCAAATTCTATGCCAGTCTTACAGCCTGGCAGGTAAGTGGGTGTACTTTGCATTATTAGTTTGTTAACAGGTGAGAGATTGTTAGTAAATTAAAGGTTGTTGGGAAATAAGAGGTTGTTGGGAAATAAGAGGTTGTTGGGAAATAAGAGGTTGTTGAGAAATGAAAGGTTGTTGGGAAATGAAAGGTTGTTGGGAAATGAAAGGTTGTTGGGAAATAAGAGGTTGTTGAGAAATGAAAGGTTGTTGGGAAATAAGAGGTTGTTGAGAAATAAGAGGTTGTTGAGAAATGAAAGGTTGTTGGGAAATGAAAGGTTGTTGGGAAATGAAAGGTTGTTGGGAAATAAGAGGTTGTTGAGAAATGAAAGGTTGTTGGGAAATAAGAGGTTGTTGAGAAATGAAAGGTTGTTGGGAAATAAGAGGTTGTTGAGAAATGAAAGGTTGTTGGGAAATAGGTTGTTGGGAAATGAAAGGTTGTTGGGAAATAAGAGGTTGTTGGGAAATGAAAGGTTGTTGGGAAATAAGAGGTTGTTGGAAATGAAGAGGTTGTTGGGAAATAAGAGGTTGTTGGGAAATAAGAGGTTGTTGGGAAATGAAAGGTTGTTGGGAAATAAGAGGTTGTTGACATATTTAAGACTAGCTGGTAGATGTGTTGACAGAGATGGCCTGACTGTAGCTAGTAAACATTTTGTGTATGTATGTATGTGGGTGTATGAATGTGTCTGTGGATGTATGTATGTGTAGCTTTGTGAGCATATGTGTGTGTATATTTATTTATGTATTTATGTATGTATGTATGTATGTATGTATGTATGTATGTATGTATTGTGTATGTCTGTATATGCGTGTGTATGTATGAGCATATAAGGGTATGTGTACGTTTGTTTCACTGTGTATAATTGTGTATACATGATGGGTGTATACATTATTCCAAAATAGTTTTTTTTAAACATAACATGCATTATTGATAGCAGGCATTGGCGCTCTGACTGTAGCTAGTGAATGTGTTGACAGAGATGGTATGACTGTAGCTAGTAAATGTGTTGACAGAGATGGCATGACTGTAGCTAGTAAATGTGTTGACAGAGATGGCATGACTGTAGCTAGTAAATGTGTTGACAGAGATGGCATGACTGTAGCTAGTAAATGTGTTGACAGAGATGGTATGACTGTAGCTAGTGAATGTGTTGACAGAGATGGCATGACTGTAGCTAGTAAATGTGTTGACAGAGATGACAGGACTGTAGCTAGTGAATGTGTTGACAGAGATGGTATGACTGTAGCTAGTAAATGTGTTGACAGAGATGGTATGACCCTAGCTAGTAAATGTGTTGACAGAGATGGCATGACTGTAGCTAGTAAATGTGTTGACAGAGATGACATAACTGTAGCTAGTAAATGTGTTGACAGAGATGGTATGACTGTAGCTAGTAAATGTGTTGACAGAGATGGTATGACTGTAGCTAGTAAATGTGTTGACAGAGATGGCATGACTGTAGCTAGTAAATGTGTTGACAGAGATGGCATGACTGTAGCTAGTAAATGTGTTGACAGAGATGGTATGACTGTAGCTAGTGAATGTGTTGACAGAGATGGTATGACTCTAGCTAGTAAATGTGTTGACAGAGATGGCATGACTGTAGCTAGTAAATGTGTTGACAGAGATGACATGACTGTAGCTAGTGAATGTGTTGACAGAGATGGCATGACTGTAGCTAGTGACTGTGTTGACAGAGATGACATGACTGTAGCTAGTGAATGTGTTGACAGAGATGACATGACTGTAGCTAGTAAATGTGTTGACAGAGATGACATGACTGTAGCTAGTGAATGTGTTGACAGAGATGACATGATTGTAGCTAGTAAATGTGTTGACAGAGATGGTATGACTGTAGCTAGTGAATGTGTTGACAGAGATGGCATGATTGAAGCTAATAAATGTGTTAGATGGTATGATTGAAGCTAATAAATGTGTTGACAGAGATGGCATGATTGAAGCTAATAAATGTGTTGACAGAGATGGTATGACTGTAGCTAGTGAATGTGTTGACCGAGATGGCATGACTGTAGCTAGTGAATGTGTTGACAGAGATGGCATGACTGTAGCTAGTGAATGTGTTGACAGAGATGGTATCCTGTAGCAGTAATGTTTCTATAGATGGTCTTGACTGTGCACAGAATGTGTTGACAGCTATGATGAGATGAAGCTGAGAGAACAAACAGGTGTTTGACAGAGATGGTATGACATGTAGCTAGTTTTAATGTGTTGACAGAGATGGTATGACTGTGCTCTTACGTGGAAACTTTGTGTGTTTCTGCTCTGTAGTGAAACTGTGTTGACAGAGATGGCATGATTGTAGCTAGTAAACTGTGTTCCACTATACAGGTAAAACTTCTTGTGTTCCACTCTTAGCTAATAAATGTGTTGACAGAGATGGCATGATTGAAGCTAATAAATGTGTTGACAGAGATGGTATGACTGTAGCTAGTGAATGTGTTCCGACAGAGATGGCATGACTGTAGCTAGTGAATCTTGACAGAGAGGTAAGCTAGTTGTGTTGACTCTTACAGGTTACTGTAGCTAGTGAATGTGTTTTTACTGACAGAGGTAGAACTTCTTGTGTTCCTTTACAGGTAATCTTGTGTTCCACTCCTAAAATCTTTTGTGTTCTGCACAGAAGTCTTGTGTTCAGCTGTAGAGGTAAATTTTTGTGACAGACATGGTGAGAGAACAAGATGACAGGCGTGCTTGACAGGTAAAGACAGTGTTCAGGCTAGTTACATTTGTGAACACCTTGTGTTTGTTACAGGTGACTTTTTCAGTTTACTGTTACAAGTAAACTTCTTGTGTTCCGCTCTTACAGTAAAGTTCTTGTGTTTCTGCTCTTAGAGGTAAACTTTTTGTGTTCCCCTGCTCCCTAGTGAATGTGTTACCGTATTAACTTCTTGTGTTCCGCTGTTACAGCTTTTTCTGTTCACTGTTACAGAGTAAACTTCTTGTGTTCTGCTCTTACAGGTAAAGTTGTGTGTTCGAGCTGGTGAACTTTTTCTGTCTGCGATGTGTTGACAGGTAAACTTCTTGTGTTCCGCTCTTACAGGTAAATTTCTTGTGTTCTGTGTAATAACTTTTGTGTCCGCTTACATGTAAACTTCTTGTGTTCCGAGATTCTGCAGGTAAACTTCTTACAGGTAAAGTAAACTTCTTGTGTTCTGCTCTTAGAGGTAAACTTCTTGTTTTATGCTCTTAGAGGTAAACTTCTTGTGTTCCACTCTTACAGGTAAACTTCTTGTGTTCCACTCTTACAGGTAAACTTCTTGTGTTCTGCTCTTAGAGGTAAACTTTTTGTGTTCCGCTGTTACAGGTAAACTTCTTGAGTTCCGCTCTTACAGGTAAACTTCTTGTGTCCGCTGTTACAAGTAAACTTCTTGTGTTCCGCTGTTACAAGTAAACTTCTTGTGTTCCGCTGTTACAGTGAACTCTGTTCCTCTGTTACAAGGTAAACTTCTTGTTCTGTGTTCCACTCTTACAGGTAAACTTCTTGTGTTCCGCTGTTACAAGTAAACTTCTTGTGTTCCGCTGTTACAGGTGAACTTTTTCTGTTCCGCTGTTACAAGTAAACTTCTTGTGTTCCGCTCTTACAGGTAAACTTTTTGTGTTCCGCTGTTACAAGTAAACTTCTTGTGTTCCGCTGTTACAGGTGAACTTTTTCTGTTCACTGTTACAAGTAAACTTCTTGTGTTCTGCTCTTACAGGTAAAGTTCTTGTGTTCTGCTCTTAGAGGTAAACTTTTTGTGTTCCGCTGTTACAGGTAAACTTTTTCTGTTCCGCTGTTACAAGTAAACTTCTTGAGTTCCGCTCTTACAGGTAAACTTCTTGTGTTCCGCTGTTACAGGTAAACTTCTTGTGTTCCGCTGTTACAAGTAAACTTCTTGTGTTCTGCTCTTACAGGTAAAGTTCTTGTGTTCTGCTCTTAGAGGTAAACTTTTTGTGTTCCGCTGTTACAGGTAAACTTCTTGTGTTCCTCTGTTACAAGTAAACTTCTTGTGTTCCGCTGTTACAAGTAAACTTCTTGTGTTCCGCTGTTACAAGTAAACTTCTTGTGTTCCGCTGTTACAAGTAAACTTTTTGTGTTCCACTCTTAGGAGTAGACTTCTTGTGTTCCGCTCTTACAGGTAAACTTCTTGTGTTCCGCTGTTACAAGTAAACTTCTTGTGTTCCGCTGTTACAAGTAAACTTCTTGTGTTCCGCTGTTACAAGTAAACTTCTTGTGTTCCGCTGTTACAAGTAAACTTCTTGATTTCTGCTGTTACAAGTAAACTTCTTGTGTTCCGCTGTTACAAGTAAACTTCTTGTGTTCCGCTGTTACAAGTAAACTTCTTGTGTTCCGCTGTTACAAGTAAACTTCTTGTGTTCCGCTGTTACAAGTAAACTTCTTGTGTTCCGCTGTTACAAGTAAACTTCTTGTGTTCCGCTGTTACAAGTAAACTTCTTGTGTTCTGCTGTTACAAGTAAACTTCTTGTGTTCCACTCTTACTGGTAGACTTCTTGTGTTCTGCTCTTACATGTAGAGCTCTTATGTTCCACTCTTACGTCTTCTTCTTCAGCATTCAGAGCCCTTGAGGTCATTGCTGCAGGTATCACCCGCCTGCATTCATCTCTCTGGTTGGCCCTCTCTTTCCATTTTTTACACCAAGTGTTTGCAGGTCTGTCTAGACATCATCTCTCCATGTTCTTCTTTGTCTGCCTTGTAGTCTACAACCATTCATCTATCTTGTGAATACAGTTTTTACTTATCTGACATCTGACATTCCAACCATTTCAGTCTATTAGATATTATGATGCTAGTGATCAGTGGTGATTTAAACAGATTATGAATTTCGTTGTGAATGTGTTGACAAGTAACGTGATTAGCTAGTATATGTGTTGACAGAGACGTTTTGACTAACTGTAGCTAGTGTATGTGTTGACAGAGATGGCATGACCGTAGCTAGTAAATGTGTTGACAGAGGCAGCATAACTCTAGCTAGTGAATGTGTTGACAGAGATGGCACTACTGTAGCTAGTGAATGTGTTGACAGAGGTGGCATAACTGTAGTTAGTGAATGTGTTGACAGAGATATTATGACTGTAGCTAGTGAATGTATTGACAGAGGCGGCATAACTGTAGCTAATGAATGTGTTGACATAGATGGCAGAACTGTAGCTAGTCAATGCGTTGACAGTCAACAGGCCACATAATTGTAACTAGTAAATGTGTTGACAGAAATGGCATAACTGTAGCTGGTAAATGTGTTGACAGAGGTGGCATAACTGTAGCTAGTGAATGTGTTGACAGTCGACAGGACCACATGACTATAGCTAGTGAATGTGTTGACAGAGATGACATGACTGACTGTAGCTAGTGAATGTATTGACAGAGATGGCATGACTGACTATAGCTAGTGAATGTGTTGACAGAGATGACATGACTGACTGTAGCTAGTGAATGTATTGACAGAGATGACATGACTGACTATAGCTAGTGAATGTGTTGACAGAGATGACATGACTGACTGTAGCTAGTGAATGTATTGACAGAGGCAGCATAACTTTAGCTAATGAATGTGTTGACAGAGATGGCATGACCGTAGCTAGTGAATGTGTTGACAGAGGCAGCATGACTGTAGCTAGTGAATGTGTTAACAGAGATGGCACGACCGTAGCTAGTGAATGTGTTGACAGAGATGGCATAACTGTAGCTAGTGAATGTGTTGACAGAGATGGCATAACAGTAGCTAGTGAATGTGTTGACAGAGATGGCATGACCGTAGCTAGTAACTGTGTTGACAGAGATGGCATAACTGCAGCTAGTGACTGTGTTGACAGAGATGACATGACTGATTGTGGCTAGTGAATATGTTGACAGAGGTGGCATAACTGTAACTAGTAAATGTGTTGACAGAGGTGGTTCGACTCTTACAGGTAACCTTATTTTGTTCTGCTCTTTTAAGTAAACCTTTTGTATCTGTTGATGCCTTTTTTTAACGCATTTTTTATCTGTTGATGCCTATTTTGCCTGTTGATGCCTGTTTTATATGTTGATGCCTGTTTTATCTGTTGATGCCTATTTTGTCTGTTGATGCCTGTTTTATATGTTAATGGCTATTTTATCTGTTGATGCCTGTTTTGTCTGCTCAGAAATGGTAATGATCATTTCACAGTGCACATACACACAGTGTGTCTTTTATAACCAGTCAATTTTCATTTCTGTTGATTACACTGTCAAGGAAAAGTGAATGAAATGGTACAACAAACAGAAACCACCATTGTTTTTATCTATTGAATATTCTACAATAATTGGCAGATAAGGCACCGGTTAATCCAGATCCATGTTCATCATGTCAGTTTTTTTGTTAGCTGTAGAAAGATTGTTAGATAAAAGAAAACCTGTTTTTTTCTTTAATCTTTGTGTTGTTAGGAAAAAAAACAGATTACATTTTGCTGCTGCAAATTAAAAAAAAATGGCTTCATTAATATTTTATTGTTTTTCTGGTTGGTGTATTGTGGAATTTATAGTTTTCTGGCTTCTCTGTCATGTTTCCAACACAGATTTAATTCCTTCTTTCGGACCAAAGAGAACTTGAGTCTTCAGAGCAGCACATACTCACACAAAATCAACCCTAACAGTGTTCTGTGCCCCTACGATCTGCAGGGAACATGCAATGATGATTCTTGCACACAGTAAGTAGCACTTTGTGTCTCTATGATCTGCAGGAAACATGCAATGATGATTCTTGCACACAGTAAGTAGCACTTTGTGTCTCTATGATCTGCAGGAAACATGCAATGATGATTCTTGCACACAGTAAGTAGCACTTTGTGTCTCTACAATCTGCAGGAAACATGCAATGATGATTCTTGCACACAGTAAGTAGCACTTTGTGTCTCTACAATCTGCAGGAAACATGCAATGATGATTCTTGCACACAGTAAGTTGCACTTTGTGTCTCTACGATCTGCAGGAAACATGCAATGATGATTCTTGCACACAGTAAGTAGCACTTTGTGTCTCTACCATCTGCAGGAAACATGCAATGATGATTCTTGCACACAGTAAGTAGCACTTTGTGTCTCTACAATCTGCAGGAAACATGCAATGATGATTCTTGCACACAGTAAGTAGCACTTTGTGTCTCTATGATCTGCAGGAAACATGCAATGATGATTCTTGCACACAGTAAGTAGCACTTTGTGTCTCTATGATCTGCAGGAAACATGCAATGATGATTCTTGCACACAGTAAGTAGCACTTTGTGTCTCTGCAATCTGCAGGAAACATGCAATGATGATTCTTACACACAGTAAGTAGCACTTTGTGTCTCTGCAATCTGCAGGAAACATGCAATGATGATTCTTGCACACAGTAAGTAGCAATTTGTGTCTCTACAATCTGCAGGAAACATGCAATGATGATTCTTGCACACAGTAAGTAGCACTTTGTGTCTCTACAATCTGCAGGAAACATGCAATGATGATTCTTGCACACAGTAAGTAGCACTTTGTGTCTCTACAATCTGCAGGAAACATGCAATGATGATTCTTGCACACAGTAAGTAGCACTTTGTGTCTCTACAATCTGCAGGAAACATGCAATGATGATTCTTGCACACAGTAAGTAGCACTTTGTGTCTCTACAATCTGCAGGAAACATGCAATGATGATTCTTGCACACAGTAAGTAGCACTTTGTGTCTCTATGATCTGCAGGGAACATGCAATGATGATTCTTGCACACAGTAAGTAGCACTTTGTGTCTCTACAATCTGCAGGAAACATGCAATGATGATTCTTGCACACAGTAAGTTGCACTTTGTGTCTCTATGATCTGCAGGAAACATGCAATGATGATTCTTGCACACAGTAAGTAGCACTTTGTGTCTCTACAATCTGCAGGAAACATGCAATGATGATTCTTGCACACAGTAAGTAGCACTTTGTGTCTTTATGATCTGCAGGGAACATGCGATGATGATTCTTGCACACAGTAAGTAGCACTTTGTGTCTCTACAATCTGCAGGAAACATGCAATGATGATTCTTGCACACAGTAAGTAGCACTTTGTGTCTTTATGATCTGCAGGGAACATGCAATGATGATTCTTGCACACAGTAAGTAGCACTTTGTGTCTCTACAATCTGCAGGAAACATGCAGTGATGATTCTTGCACACAGTAAGTAGCACTTTGTGTCTCTACAATCTGCAGGAAACATGCAATGATGATTCTTGCACACAGTAAGTAGCACTTTGTGTCTCTACAATCTGCAGGGAACATGCAGTGAGGATTATGTGTTATGTTTTCACACTTGAGGTCTTGCACACTGGCCATTTCTATGACTGCTCAGTCCTCCAATGTAGCAGCCACTCCAAGTTATCTCTCCTGATTGTTCCCTTGAGAATTTTGTTATATCTCCTTTACCTCAAAGACGGCTTAGACATGCTTCACCCAGCTTAACTCCTCTGTCACGCAGTAGTGTTAGCATCAAGAGATTCAACATTATTCCCTAACATGTTTTGTTTAGAGACGATGATATTAACTGTTTCTATTTGTATTGGTACATTACTTGCCAACTGGTCAGCTCTTTCATTAGAATTTACTCATGCATGCCCAGGTGTGTAGATCCAGATGATGTGGGTTACACACACACACACAAGTTACACACACACACCTGCAACTGAAACACCTTTCGTTGCAACTATCCCACTGCCTGTCTGACATGTATAGACACACACGCACATACACACCTGCAACTGTTACACCTCCACGTGCAGCTGGTCTCACTTTATCTCCAGGCTACACCCACACACCTGCAACTGTTACACCTCCACGTGCAGCTCTCGTCTCACTTTATCTCCAGGCTACACCCACACACCTGCAACTGTTACACCTCCACGTGCAGCTGGTCTCACTTTATCTCCAGGCTACACATACACACCTGCAACTGTTACACCTCCACGTGCAGCTGGTCTCACTTTATCTCCAGGCTACATCCAAGAGACTACAAACTAAGTGACCATGAACTCCTGGAAGAAATCGTTTCCTACTGCCCAAAACTGGCAGGCGCTGCAGACGGTGCCTCTCCTGAAGAAGTTCACAAATGCATCGGTAATGTGGTTTTCTTATGTCATCTTTGTTTTTTGAGCATGGCCATCTCAAGGTAAGCCCAAATAGATCAACCAGAAGTTCCTGTTTTTGTTAAATCATGGAGACCATCTGAATTTGTCTTCTCTTTTGATCAGGTAGATTGAAACTACAGCTTAATTAACTTCCAACATATTTTATAAATGAGGGTCAGTATGTCAGTCACAAATAGTCATGGGATGGCAGGAACATGTAGTTGGTGGTTTTTAAAGGTGTCATTAGGTGACGGCAACATCGAACTGTATGTCTCCGTTTGTTAGGTTCCAATAGCTGTTGCATGTGTATTCGCAACACATTAACGACATGGCAACTGTACTGACAGAGTGTACCCTCAAAGAAAAATGTGATGGTGTTCTGTTTGGGGGGGGGGGGGGGCAAAAGGGCTGCCAGCAAAGGACATTTGTAAGGAAATACTGTTAACCAGTTTTTAAAAAAGGGGGGGGGGTGGGTTGACATTATGAATGCTAATTCATACTGCTCTATCAATGCTTCATATGCAGTTCAAAGAAAACGTCTAGACCTGCTGAATAGAGGAGTACTTCTACTCCATGTCAGTGTCAGACCACATATGGCTCAGTTAACTCAGGAGAAAATTACCATCTAAAGTGGGAACTTCTGGAATACCCACCTTACAGCCCCAACTTAGCCTTTAGCGATTTCTACTGTTTTGATCCACTGAAAACCCACCTTAACAGGAGACATTTTGTGAACGATGCAGAAGTTGAATGTGAAGTGAAAATGTGGTTTAGAGAACAGCACACAGTTCTATGCAGCAAGTTTAGGAGGACTGATAAAATGATGGGACAGGTGCATCAGTGTTGGTAGAAATTGTGGTTGGTGGAAAATGTGTTTAAAAATAAGGGGACAGTGGATGTGTAAAAAATAAGCGACTTCTATTTGTTATTGTTAACTGTTTGTGACTAACTTATTGACTTTCCCTCATATATATTTTTGAAGATAAATAAGTGTGTTATTTTAGAGTTATTGCAGACAAACAAATACATCTACTTACCATCATCATATTATTTGCCTGTAAGTCCCTCACAATCATCAGAATTACGGATCAGTTCAGTGTTTTTGTCTCGTCCCGTCCATCTAGCCACACCGTCCAGGTATTTATCCCTTTGTCTTTCTTTGGCTATCTTTCCATCAATCTTGTCAGTTCTTACCAAGTTCTCAATTCCATGTATTATATTATTTCACACAGCCCACAACTAGCCTGATATCTTATTCCACACAGCCCACAACTGGCATATCTTATTCCACACAGCCCACGACTGGCATATCTTATTCCACACAGCCCACAACTGGCATATGTTATTCCACTCAGCCCACAACTGGCATATCTTATTCCACTCAGCCCACAACTAGCCTGATATCTTATTCCACACAGCCTACCACTGGCATATATTATTCCACACAGCCCACAACTGGCATATCTTATTCCACACAGCCCACAACTGGCATATCTTATTCCACACAGCCCACAACTGGCATATCTTATTCCACTCAGCCCACAACTGGCATATCTTATTCCACACAGCCCACAACTGGCATATCTTATTCCACACAGCCCACAACTGGCATATCTTATTCCACACAACCCACCACTGGCATATCTTATTCCACACAGCCCACAACTGGCATATCTTATTCCACACAGCCCACAACTGGCATATCTTATTCCACACAGCCCACAACTGGCATATCTTATTCCACACAACCCACCACTGGCATATCTTATTCCACACAGCCCACAACTGGCATATCTTATTCCACACAGCCCACAACTGGCATATCTTATTCCACACAGCCCACCACTGGCATATGTTATTCCACACAGCCCACCACTGGCATATCTTATTCCACACAGCCCACCACTGGCATATCTTATTCCACACAGCCTACCACTGGCATATCTTTTTCCACACAGCCCACCACTGGCATATCTTATTCCACACAGCCCACCACTGGCATATCTTATTCCACACAGCCCACCACTGGCATATCTTATTCCACACAGCCCACCACTGGCATATCTTATTCCACACAGCCCACCACTGGCAAATCTTATTCCACACAGCCCACCACTGGCATATCTTAATCTACACAGTCCACCACTGGCATATCTTATTCCACACAGCCCTTCACTTCTGACAAATTACAGAACCATCTGAATATATAAAAGCATCGTCTGGTGATGTGTTCCTCCAGCAATGCTTTCACTTCTGCATCAACTATTGGTGATGCCAAATCACGGCATTGTCTTGTCAGGGTGATAACCACCACAAAGTACTGCTTGTATTCATTGGGTCTGGGTATCCCCACTCTCCACGGTTTATGTCTTGTCAGGGTGATAACCACCACAAAGTTTTGCTTGTATTCATTGGGTATGGGTATCCCCACTCTCCACGGTTTATGTCTTGACAGGAAGTCACCCGCTGAAGTACCGTCTTTGCCCAGCTCAGCCAAGCCTGGTCTTTTTTACGTCTGTTGCCTTCACATGTTAACAGTTCATATAGTGACTTGTGGGGTTGTAGTCGATTTACATGCAAGAAGACAGCACTTTCTGGGCATTTTTAACATCAAACTACACAACACAACACAACCATGACCACCTCTAGAACCGGCATTGACAGAACACACTGTACAGAAGCTTGCCTCTGTTCATGATGTCATAAACACACCTTTTTGGCTCAACTGTAGAGATGGAGTGTGTGTGCCAATTGTTGTGTCTGTGTGTGTTGTGTCTGTGTGAGTGTTGTTTCTGTGTGCATTGTGTTTGTGATGTGTCTGTGTGTATGTTTTGTAACTGAGTGTGTAAAAAGAAAAATTGACACAGGGACCCGCCATAAAACAGTGAATTATGACATCATGTTTACCACACACAAAATTCCTCAGGTGCTATTATTGGTGAATATAATAATAGCTGGTCCATCTAAAGACTGCTCAGTTGTGGACAGGACCAGAAGAAAAGCACAGTTACATAGGCATAGCAGGGACCAGCCTAATTGCCTGTACGACTGAAATACCGGCCATTACAGTGATTTGTAATGGACAGTTGAGCTGAAATCAGGGTTCAGAAAATGGTTGACAGTGTATTCTACTGTTCCTTTAAATGTTATGTAAACATTTCTTTCATTTGCTTGATTTACTCTCGTCGTCGTCGTTTTTTGGGACATATTAGACCTTACTGTTGTGATTTGTATTATACCTTACTGTTGTGAATTGTATTAGACCCTTACTGTTGTACTCTGTATTGGACCTTACTGTTGTACTCTGTATTGGACCTTACTGTTGTGAATTGTATTAGACCTTACTGTTGTGATCTGTATTAGTCCTTACTGTTGTGAATCGTATTAGACCCTTACTGTTGTGATCTGTATTAGTCCTTACTGTTGTGAATTGTATTAGACCTTACTGTTGTGAATTGTATTAGACCTTACTGTTGTGATCTGTATTAGTCCTTACTGTTGTGAATTGTATTAGACCCTTACTGTTGTGCTCTGTATTAGACCTTACCGTTGTGAATTGTATTAGACCTTACCGTTGTACTCTGTATTAGACCTTACCGTTGTACTCTGTATTAGACCTTACTGTTCTGAATTGTATTAGACCCTTACTGTTGTACTCTGTATTAGACCTAACTGTTGTGTATCTGTATTAGTCCTTGCTGTTGTTCTCTGTATTGGACCTTACTGTTGTGATCCGTATTAGACCTTACCGTTGTGATCTGTATTGGACCTTACTGTTGTGATCAGTATTAGACCTTACCATTGTGCTCTGTATTGGACCTTACTGTTGTGATCTGTATTGGACCTTAACATTGTGATCTGTATTGGACCTTACTGTTGTGATCTGTATTGGACCTTACCATTGTTATCTGTTTTGGACCTTACCGTTGTGATCTGTATTGGACCTTACCATTGTGATCTGTATTGGACCTTACAGTTGTGATCTGTATTGGACCTTACTGTTGTGATCTGTATTGGACCTTACTGTTGTGATCTGTATTGGACCTTACCATTGTGATCTGTATTAGACCTTACTGTTGTGATCTCAACCCTTTGAAAATAAAGTTTGTTTGTTCGTTCGTTCGTTCGTTCGTTCGATCTGCTGTCTCTAGTGTTTATCTTGTACCTTGCGAAATGCTCCAGAAATAGCCATAGCCACCTATTGTCCAATCTGACTTTTGTTCCAATCTGAATTTTGTCTTTTGGACGTGGAATTAGTGATATTTTACTTGTAGCTCAATCCAACTTTTGTCTAATCTGACTTTTATCTAATCACCAGTTACCTTCGTGGATAATGTCTTGAGCAGGCACAAAAGCAAGATGTCAACAGATGATCTGTGTCTGTGGCTGCTTTCACAAGTTAATGAGGCCTCTGGAAAACGTAAGTACCCCTGTTATTACCAGTTGTCCCTGTCTACACCAGACTGTAGATAAGACATGTATCAGCCAGTTGTGGGTTCACAGATTTGTAGCACTAGACACACTGTCAGTTGTTGATTGTCTGTGTGTACATCAGACTGTAGATAAGACATGTAACAGCCGGTTATTGATATACAGATGTGTGGCACTGGACCTACTGTAAGCTGTTAATTACCTGTGTGTACACCAGAACTCAGATTCAGACATGCAACAGCCAGTTGTGGATACACATGTCTGGCACTGCTTACACTGTCAGTTGTTGATTGTTTATTTGTTCATAGGACATCCCCACTCTGTCAGTTATTGATTGCCTGTTTGTTTCTAGGATATCCCCACTCTGTCAGTTGTTGATTGCCTGTTTTTTCCTAGGACATCCCCACTCTATCAGTTGTTGATTGCCTGTTTGTTTCTAGGATATCTCCACTCTGTCAGTTGTTGATTGCCTGTTTGTTTCTAGGGCATCCCCACTGTGCCAGTTGTTAATCTGTTTGTGAATAGTGCATCCTCATTCTCCCAGTTGTTTGTTGATGATTTCTTGTCTCTCTTACCTCTAGGACACCCACACACTATCAGTCTCCAGCCACGCATGTGGAAGCCACAGCCTAAAGAAGAATTAGGTCTCAGCCTGGACCTTGACCAGAAATTGACTAGTCACGGAGTGGAAGCTTTGAGTGAGTGCCTCTGATTATTGTTTTCAGCCACACTATTTTTCATGACATTTTGCTGTTTTAGTTCATCAGTGTCACTTATTTTCTACTAACCCAGAGAGTTATCACTTTCCCCCCACCCCTGACATATGTTCTTTGTTCTCACACCGCAGACATATGTTCTTTGTTCTCACACCACAGACATATGTTGTCTATTCCCACACCCCAGATATATACATTGTCTGTATTCACACCCCAGATTAAGTTGATACAACTTAAATTCACCCTGAAGGAAGCGATGATACACAAGAGATACCCCGGTAGTGTGTATGTAATATATATTTGCACTAACGACCATTACAGATAGGCTCAAAGTTTTGCAAGCAAAATCTAAGACCAGAGTAGCGGCAGACAAGAAACACCCGCTGCATGAAGCCCTAAATGATAAGAGGAAGGCCTTGGAAGATGCAACCTGTAAACACAATTCTACATGTGTTCAGGCTTGATAACATTGGACAAGGAGAGGAGCAGGCCAGAGTCTCTAATCACATTAGGCCATGAGTGCATGGACTGGCCAGATGGCACTGCAGAATCAAAAGAACAAAGGATTCATGACAATGTTTTGCCATGGTGATGTGATTATCTCTACAGAGGGCTCTGTGTTAAGAGGCAGATGAAGCTCATGGAGGCTGTTAGCAAAAGCATTTGGATGTGGCTTAGTGCAACAAAACCTGGCATTTGATGCCACAATATCTAGTTTGAGAATAGAGGTAGAGGAAGTCACTGCAGCCTTGCTGGCTTGAGAATCAGCTGTGCACATGTGTCCTGATTGTAACCTAGGTACTTCAGTCAACATTGTCCAAATGCCCTCTACACCAATAAAACCAGCACAGTTAGATAGCTGTCAACAATCTCTTTCCAGCGGTACCTCATTTAGCCTTGTATGTCATTTCTGAGCTGAGATATGTAGGTTTTTGTGGAGATGAGTGTAAAAAACAGCTGTTGAAAACTTGCGTCCCAGAAACAAGAAGTTTTCTCTGCGCAACCAAACTGCGCACTTATCGTTTTGGCTTTCTTTACATTGGACAAGATGGCAGACAATGAGACACAGCCACATAATAGCGATTGCCTGAAAAATATCACTGTAAATCTAAAAAGCCACTCATAAGAAAGAAATTTTATATACAAATGTAAAATTGGACGGAGAATTTAATTATAACTAGCATTACCAGGACGAGTAATGTTAAATCCTAAAGCCAACCTTGAATACTTACCGCTATTTTCACAGCCACAATAATAGCGATTGCCTGAAAAATGTCACTGTAAATCTAACAAGCCACAGATAAAAAAGAAATTTTATATTAAAAAAAAGTAAAGATCCCTTTTCACGCATTTCGGCGCATCGGGCATATGGGCAGAGCGTACCATATTTTTACAGACCATCAGCACTGTGGGTAATGTGGTCAGCATTACGCCGGCTGTCTTTACTTTCCCAGGACAGCCCATCCTGGTACCCATTTTAGGCTGGGTCGACCTGCGACGTCCCATACCACGACAAAAATCCACGCAGCCTGCAGTGGGCTTCGATCGCGGTACAAATGTAAAATTGGACGGAGAATTCAATTATAACTAGCATTACCAGTACGAGTAATGTTGAAGCCTTAAGCCAACCTTGAATACTTACCGCTATTTTTAATCAAACTGATGTAACAGAAAAACAGAGGACGTCCGGCTGTCGTAGACATGCGCTGTTAATCGGGTTCGTTCCCACAGTTTTCAGCTATTTATAGCTGGTGAAAATCACACCAATCGCAAAATTTCATGAGAGATTGGGACCCATCCCGAAACCAGCCGACATTTCCCAAACAAGTTTAGAACGGTTTCCATGGTAACGGAAATTGCCAAAAGACCGCAAATTGCTGAACACCGTAGTCGCTATGTAACCTGCTCACAGAGTGTGTAAGGTAGGCATCACTTCAGAGGTCCCAGTTACTTAGCTTACAAAGGATATTGATTTGTCTTCA